AAAATAACAGTTTCTCACCATGTAAATAATCTTTTGGTCGCGTCCTAAAAATAGAATACTTTTTTATGTTAATTATGTTTGTCCATCTTTTCCCTATCATCATCTTATTTTTAACGCCCAAGATTTGACTATTTTTGATTCATGAAAGAAAAATCTAAATTTCTTTTTCTTACTTTTAGGGGCCATAAAATAGGATAAATATGGATGATTCACATTTTAGGCTAATAACACTTTGAACATAGTTTTCAAAAACAAAATTTGTTTGACGTTGTCAAATACAGTAGGATGTCGTATGACGTTGTGATAGATGTGAGTACATATATACGCACATCGGATCAATAAATAGATCGTTCCCTACAAAAGAATGACGATAATATTTCGTTAACTCTTTGATGTGAGTCTTGATAATAACTAAAACTAAACCTATTAAAGTATGTATTTATTCTTTAATGTATATTTAGTTTCAATCTCCGTCATTCTAAATCAATTAAATTTGAATTGCGTGACACATTAAGAACATATCAATGATAGAAATAGGAAAGTTCATACAACGAAAAAAGTTTTTATGTACCTGTTTATGTGAAAAACATAAAAACTGACTAATTATTTAAAATGTTTTAAAGTGCTCAAAGGTGCATGGTAGGGCTGCAGGAAGAACATTTATAGGATATAAAGGTTTACCAAAGTTAAAAATTGTTGATCTCTAGTTACTCGATTTTTATTAAGTTTATTATAAGGATCTCATCCCTGTAAACACCATATAGATAATACGATATATATATAATTATATGTTCTTTATATATATCTATTGTAATATTTAAGAAGCTATAATATATCATGCAGAACAAATATACAATATATATATATATATATATATATATATATATATATATATATATATATATATATATATATATATATATATATATATATATATATATATATATATATATATAAAATTTAATGGGATAATGGGCAGCAGGCAAAGCATATTTTAGCCCTCTCCAGAAAACACAAAAATTCAAGGTCATTTTTATTAAGTTTATTATAAGGATCTCATCCCTGTAAACATAATAGATAATACGATATATATATATATATATATATATATATATATATATATATATATATATATATATATATATATATATATATATATATATATATATATAATTATATGTTCTTTATATTAATCTATTGTAATATTTAAGAAGCTATGATATATCATTTTTATTAAGTTTATTATAAGGATCTCATTCCTATAAACACAACAGAAAATACTTTATATATATAATTATATGTTCTTTATATAAATCTACTGTAATATTTAAGAAGCTATAATATATCATGCAGACCAAATATACAATATTTTTTTTAATGTCGTTCTAATATATTTAACACTCTTTCTTTTTTAATTAATACAAACTTTTATAAATAATTAAAAGTGAATGGGATTGGACAGCAGGCAAAGCATATTTTAGCTCTCTCCATTCAAGGTCAATGTGAACACACGCACTATATAGATATAAAAGTAAATATACAAACATAGTATAAAAAAAAAACAAGAAAAAAAAGTAGAAAAAAGATCACAATTTAGTACCGGTGTTGTTGACTCTATAATGAGAGGGGGGAATCCTACTCTGAGAAAGAAAAAGGGGTAAATTTGGCTCTGGTTTGAGATTTCCCCTCGGGGAGAAATGCTACTTGGAGGACGATTTCCGGGGGGGGGGGGGGGGGCTGGCTCTGGGGGAAATCCTACTCTACAACACTGGGAAAATGTTAACACTCTTTCTTGCATTGTAATTTAATCAAATGACCTCTTCGGTATAGATATGTTTAACGATTACTTGATGGTCAAAACTTAGCAAAGGCGATTAATGGAATCTTAAACCTCATTTTGATTGGTTAGCTTAAATCTTAAATCTCGTATTTCGAAATTCGAATGAACCCTCTGGGCTTTCGTACTAAATTACAATTACCTCAAAAAAATATACCCAGGACCGTTAAAAGTTAAGAAAAGGTAATTTGCAGGTGATCTTCAATATATTTAAGAACTTTTAGTTTAATTTTCATTGTGAGAAATATTAAGTATAATCAACGTTTATTTTAGGACTTTTGAATATTGACTGAAATGGGTAATTCTAAAATTTCAAATTAATTTTTTTTTCTCACTGAACTTAATCAACAAACTAGAGTTATTGTGAACAATGAGCTTGGAAATTGAAACTTTTCCAGCATATGGTTATAATGGCAAAGTCATGTTTTACTTGCATGCCACATTTATATTATAATAAGTAAAATAGGAGGCATTTTGAAAGAATTTCACAGCAATGGTATTATGAAATCAAAAACTGATAATAGAATATGTAACAGTACTTGTGTGCCAAGTTATATTGAAATCAGTACTAAAACTTAGAAGGAGTAGCATATATAAAGAACACAGAAATTTGTTTTTTAGAGACCACGGCAAAATGTATGTCCAATCAAAAAGTACACAGAATTGTGTATCTCACTTTGTAAAAATATTTTCTGTTAAAGTTTTATTAAATTTAATTCAGCGGTAAAAGAGGAGTTGCAAATACGAGATGGGTACTTCAAAGAATAACAGACGGACATCCCAATCATTATATCATATGTATATATGATCAACTTTCAGTTTTAATGTAAATTTTTTGTATATTTCTCAATTTTTAATAAATTTAAATATTCTCAACATTTTAAAAGGCTAAAATAAAATAACTGAACATGGTATGTATATGTATTTTCTGTGTGCCAAGTTATATAGATTTCATAAAACTTGCAATTGTGTTTTTAAAGAATTTCACAGAAATTTCTATTTTTAGTACCACATAGTAAAAATCAAATCAAAAACGATACACATATTAATACCTTTATACAATATGTGTGCCAAGTTATATTGAAATCAATGTCCAAAAAACATTATGTGCTGGTGTAGAGAGGGTCCTAAACTTGTACTTTATAATTTGAAGAACTATTTTATTCTAGTTTGCTTTTTTTACAATTGATACTAAACATTACAAATTAATTTTTTTTTGCATTAAAATATTTCAACAAACTAGAGCATTTGAACCATAAATTATAAGCAATCCCTAAATCAAACTTTAAACCGACCTTGCCTTCCTTGCATGATTCATTCAAAAGAAATAGAAAAGGCTTTTTGAAACATATTTTCAATAGTCGTACCTTAAAAACAACTAATAAGTCTTGTAAAAATATGTTTATTTCAATTTATGGAACGTAAAATAATTGAAATCACTTTGTAAAAATAACAGTTAAAGTTTTATTAAATTTAATTCAGCATAACAGTTATAAGTTGCAAATATAATTATTGAAGTCCGGATATCAAAAGCATTATATCATATGTATATATGATCAACTTTCAGTTTTAATGTAAAATTTTTGTATGTTTCTCAATTTTTAATAAATTTAAATATTCTCAACATTTTAAAAGGCTAAAATAAAATAACTGAACATGGGATGTATATGTATTTTCTCTGTGGAAGTACTCAACTGTGATTTCATTTCACTGCAATATAAATGTTTGAAAACCCTAGTTTTAACAAGTGGTAAATTAGCCATCATTAAAAATCAAATAAATACGTTCAATATTAATACCTTTATACAATATATATATTTTTTTAAAATCAATGTCCAAAAAACATTATGTGCTGGTGTAGAGAGGGTCCTTAACTTGTACTTTATAATTTGAAGAACTACATTCTAATTTTCATTTTTAAAACAATTATATAAACATGTCTAATTCACAATTGCATTAAAATGTTTCATATTTTCAGCATTTGAACCATGAATTATAAGCAATCCCTAAATCAAACTTTAAACCGACCTTCCTTACTTGCACGATGCATTCAAAAGAAATAGTAAAGGCTTTTTAAAACATATTTTCAATAGTCGTACCTTAAAAACAACTAATAAGTCTTGTAAAAATATGTTTATTTCAATTTATGGAACGTAAATTGAAAGCTTGGTATCAATAACAGTTATAAGTTAGAATTGATAATTAATGTCCATAACAGTTATAAGTTAAAGATAATTATTGAAGTCCATTCAAAAGCATATAAAATATGTATCATGATCATCGAACTTTAATGACATTTGAACTCTGATGTGATTTTTCTTCACCTCAATGACTTCCTTTTAACAATTTTGAATGAAATCCTTTTTCAGATTTTTCATTTTATTACAGAAGGCTATGACGTATGTGTGTTCTAGGATATATAAATTTTGAAAAATGTTTTAACAAGTGGATAATATAGAAATCATTAAAATTGTTTCATGAACACACACTTTGATATTTAAAGCTTAAATTGTTGAAATTTTTCAAGTGATTTATTCCTCTTCCTGAAAAATATATAAAATCGGACTAAGCTTTTGTTTTTCATAAAAACAGAAATTGTGAATATTTTGGAACATATAATTTTTATTTTTAAAACAATTATATTTCATTTTGTTTACAGTTTATTGAATTCTTACATTTTAAGTTTTCAAAATTTGACTTTTGTTCATTATACATATGTAGCCAATCAGATATACCTAAAGCATATAGTTCTTTGATGCACCAACTTTATGCAACCGAATGATTTTAGACAGTAAAACAATACTTCTTTAGTAAATTTAACTAAAATAATAATAAAAAAAAAGAAATGCCAAAATATTAAATGTTTTTTAAAGAAAACTAAATATGATATAGAAATTCCTATATTCAATTATTTTCCATGATTAAAATTATCCTGTCCATCGTAAAAACTCTTATCTAAATTATCTTAATCAGCATCAGTTATTATAATAAAAATATTTTTGAGACATAAATGCTTGTGGAGAAAGAATATTATCAGATTTTTACTTTTCACTACTTTTGTTTTTTTGCAGACGACCTAGAAAGATTGCTGAGGGACCTCCTACGTGAGGAAAGAAAAAATGAGCACAACAATGGGAAAAGTCATGGGAGAAAAAGCAAACACCGCCTAAAGTTAGAGGACATCGATAAGGTAAGCAACGGAGTTAATCAGAATTACATTTTAAGACGTTCTGTACTTGTTTTGCCCCAATGTCATTACCTTATCACATATTAATTGAATGTCCTGTTTCAGTCAAATTATTATCAAATTTCTTCAGCTAGCATTTCGATGAATTTATTTATAACTGATAGTACTATTTTACAATACTCATTTTATACTCTTCTTCTGATTTGCATTGTTTGAATTGAATCTTGAGCTTGAATACCTATCTCCATATTTGATATACAAAATGAATCCCTTCTCTTAAAAGAATTTTAATGCATCATAAAATGCAACAAAATTAGAGGTATTCAAAAACGTGTAAAACCTTCTCTGTGCAAAACTATATGAACAAAATTGCAAACTGACACGCTGCTTGTCAAGAATTTGGAATATTTAGTTTGACAAGTAAATTATCACCTCATCAAATAAATAGTACAAAATTCCAAAATAAAGTTTTATGATAAACACAATCTAAACATACAACATATCAACTATAACTTTCAAGGAGTTTAATCATTAATCTTTAGCAAACTTTATTTACGCCTGATAATAATACATAAATTAATATTGTAAGATGGTAAACACTAAACACTATTTAAATAAAAACAGTTAAAAGAAAACTCTGGATATGTAGTTTATGCATATTTGCAAACTGTAAGAAATTGTATTTAAAGCAAACTTCCATTTTATGGTAATGATTTGCTTTAAATACACTTAAATGCTTCATTTATTCAACGCAATTCCTTCACAAAATAAACATAAAATAAAGATAAGATATAAAGTTCTGGAAATTTTCAATTTTCAGAATTTGGCCTTAATTATTATTTCTTCCCTTTTTATTCATGTCTTTTTTTAAATTTGTAAACTTAAACGATGCTGAACGGACAAAGACACATTTCAATAAAAATTCAAATGGTAAACAAAATGTTTTGACATTCAATTTATTTTTTCAGAAGATCAGATTAAGCATAAGCACGCATAAATCACCGTCCAAATGTCGCCACACAAATTTTTAAGTGTGCATCAATTTATATTATTCAGATCAGGTAACTATTAAAACTACGTTTGAAATCTAAGCATTTGATTACTCATCCTTATTTTCATATGATACCAGCAAACCATTATGCAAAGCTGCATTCATGGCAAAATGATCATGTAATAAAAGAGTGAAAAATGAATTGATCACATGATTAGCACGCAACTTGTCAAAGTTCTCAATGCATGTAACAAAAGAGCATTTGTTCGCTCATGACAATGTGCCTTTTGAAGAAAGTAAAATTAAAAATACATTATCTCGCAATTTCATTTGAAGGATTTTGGATCGTTTCTTCACAATCATATGTCAGATTTAACACTTTCTATATCCCCATCAGCAAAATTGAATTTGCACTGGCCTTCCTATACTGGATTTCATAATTTGAAAAAAAAATCTTCACAATCAAATTTTCAAAGAGGTTATATTGTAAATTTTTTTTTTGTTCCTTACAACAAACAATATTGTGCATCAGCATATTCAACATGTGATAGAAAATAAGCAATTGTGGTTACTACAGACCTCATAAGATTTATCAAAATTTGAAACATTAAATGAAGAGCAACAAAACGCAAGTTTTTTTTAAACTTCATGCAACCATTTTTTTTCAGTATAGATAAAAAAAATGCATATTGATTTCATACAGAACTGTCTTTTAAACAGGGAATTCTATAACATCATATTTTATCTTTAAAATACCTTTTTTCAAAAGCCATTATTTTTCTATACACAAACTCTTGGTATTCCAGTGGGCACAATTGGTGCTCTTTTATTAGCTGACCTCTTTTGACATTCCTATGAAGCGGAATTATTCTATTCATAAACTTCTTCATGGTTAGGAAAACACTAGATGTGGCAGGTGGATATATCAACAATGTTTTATCAATTAATAATCCCTTTGTATGCCGACTCGATATATCCCAGTGATCGAACTTGATATAAAAAAATATATTGCACCTGTTTCATATTTATATGTATTAGATGTTTTACTGAGTCAGACAATTAAACGACAAAGGCTTATTACCGACTAATTTGTATGAGAAACTAGAGGACTTCAGCTTTTTTGCTAATCACAACTTCAGTTTATCATTTGAATATTTCTACTATCGAGGGGAAAAAGCATGTTTCAGATGTTTACATTGGCTTTACTTTAAATCTATTTTAATTTAAATTTTGATTACAATTGTTCATTATCTTCAAATTTTATATCACAAGATGGAGATGTAAATCTAAATGTCAAATAATTACTTTTTCGACATACACAAAGATATATAAATCTTATTACTTAAAGCAACTCCAACTTGTATTACAAATAAAAACAAGTTTGCATTCTCTTTATTTTAAATAACTAATAGGAATGAAGACGCACATATATAGATATTTGCATTCTTTAACGACGTCTACCCCTGTGATTATCTTCCTTTTTACGGACGATTTTTATTATATTTTGAAACCTGATTTTAATTTAATCAAATTATAAATTTAAAAAGGTCCACTTTTTAAAATCTCTAATCTATATTTTATAGTCAGAGCTGAATTTGCACTCACTTGCCCAGGATTACGCAGAAAGACAACTCGATTACCTACCTGATGGCGCACATAAGGTATGTTGTGAAATCCATGTCTGTCAAATTCTCATTTTTCATTAACCTGCTATGTACGAATAGGAAAACACTTGCTTTGGCTTTTAATTCTACTCAAAGATCTATTGAAAACCTTTTATCAAATTAATGCTAATTATTCTCATTCATATTTAAGGAATGAATTTAATAGCTACCCATTTTATACGGTATAAACTGGGTTGGGGCAGTTTACGCTTTATAAACCACGAAGCGGTTTATAAAAAAGCGTAAACTGTTCCAACCCAGTTTATACCGTATAAAATGGGTAGCTATTAAAGTCATTGCTTATAATTTAATTTTTATTCATTTGATGTAAGAAAAAAAGATGATTGTTCTAACAATTTGTACAAATTTGAATGCAACGTCAGGCGGATTGATACGTTTTTGACGTAAGTCATTGTGACGTAGGCATCCCATTTTATACAATATAAAGTAAATTTTTTATCCAATGAAATACAGCGTTACAACCAGAATTAAATTATTTCGCAGTGAACTCGAAATAAAAGTTACTACATAAAGAAAAGTTTGTCACACCTGTTCATGTTTGGGTGTTTTACATTAAATAGTCAAAAAAAAAGGGCTAAATTGTATGACAAACATGATGATAGCAGTTTTCATATCGTCAAATTTCTTATTTATATGGAGTCCAATATCTCATATCAAGTGTTTACTTACATTCGATTAATTCTTAAATCTAGGCAGGCTACAGACAGATAAGTTTATATGGTGTTTGGGGGATTCCATCAATCTTGTTTTACATCCCCCAATACATAAATTCCATTGGCGCCATACCAGTAGTAGACTTTCGTATTTAAAATTAATTTGTATAGGGAATTTTGTACATACCATATCAATGTTAAGGTCTAGAGACAGTGACCTTTTTTGATATGGGACGCTTACTTCTCCTAGTCATATGATCCAATACCTTTATACCAACGGGGGTTGTTATTAATGCCTTATTCCTCAATTTTTATCATTTAAGTTTTTTTTAAAATCAATTACTGTTTAATATCTTGCCTTTTAGATGAGAAATGTACTTACCATATGTTATTTATTATTAATTGTATTTATCTTTTTCTTTCTAAAGCCAAAAAATATGAATAAAAAGGAGAAAGAAGAGGAAATGGCACTAGACAGAGATGTTCACAAAATGTCCGACGATTTACGAGTAAGAACATACTATACATACTATGTACATGTATTTGTTAACACATAGACAGAACATCGATGCTCTAAAATAGTAATGAATCTTTTCAGATTCCAAGCAGATCAGCCAAGAGAACCTTCTATCATGATAAAGGTTGGCGGTGGCCAAACAGAACAATTCATTATGTCATTGATTATCCATCCTTTGGTAAGTATATATTCTTACTGTGATATATGTATTGAATATTCATCCTTTAAATTGTTGTGTTTAATTTCTCCATCAATGGGTATAGTAAGATTACTCTGTCAATGACTATTCATTCTTTGTGTAAATAATCGCGCGCCTTTATGTTTTTGTATGAATAATCTTTTCACTGAGTAGTCATCTTTTGGAATCTTTATTTTTCATCACTGGTTATTCCTTCCTTGGGGTATAATGATTGTATATCGTGATTTGCTATCCAATCACTGGTAGAGATATATTACTGTTATTTACTATTAAATCATTACGTCATAAATTATCCATGAAATGATATTTATTTTATACCAACATTGAATTATCCATTTTTTGTTATGTCGTATCTTGTTAACCCGTTTTATGGTTGATTCATCCCATCACAAGTCTAGGAAACCTCATAACTAGTCTCGGTCGATCGGAACTTGAATCTTTTTAACTCCCCATGATAAAAACTTTTTCAGTATAATTCAGTATATCTTGCGTGATACTATAATTTGCAGAATAAATGCATTGAAAGTTATCATTCTTTGTATTTTATATAACTTGCTGAATTATTTAGATTTTGTTAGCATATAAGTATTTTGCTCAAAATGTTCGCTAACAGATTTTTAGTTAACAGTTATTTTACTTTCTTTAGATCCTTACCAGACACAAGCGGAAGACAAAATTAAATCGTCGCTGGCTCTTTTTGAGGCTGCAGCCTGTATACACTGGGTAGAAGTAACAGAGGCTACCACAACTAACAATTATATCAAGTTCTTTGGAAACACAACTTCGTAAGAAATGTGCTTATGTAATTGGCTTGATTCTTTAATATGGTAAAATGTATATAAAATAATATAAAAGTCGACATTTTTAGATGTGCTTCATATGTGGGATACATTAGAAGAACGGAGCAAAAAATTTGGCTCGGACCTGGATGTTTATGGGTAAAACTCTCTCTCTCTCTCTCTCTCTCTCTCACAAAAAATATTCAGGTAGTCAGAAATTCACAAAAATGCATTATTACCTTCTGTTTTAACAGACATCCATTGTTCTGCACGAAGTTCTTCATGCTCTGGGGGCCTGGCACGAACAACAGAGGACTGACAGAGAGGAAAACATATGTGTTCTTTTCGAAAACATTAAACCAGGTGCTGTGGGGAACTTTGAGAGACAGCACATACATGAATATGCCCCCTACAATCTTGGATCCGTTCTTCAATATGGTTTATCTGTAAGTCATTGCAAAAGCACTGTCATTAAACATATAACTTTTTTATTAACATTATATCGAAAATTATTTTAAACTTTTTAAAAGGAAAGTGGTAAAAAAAATTTTACATAACCAATTTCAAAGAGTGCAAAATTTCGCTTTTGTGTAAAACGGGCCCCAGAGTCTGAAGTCGCTAGATAACTTGGTTTATCTTTTGTGTGTTGTTTTTGTTTGGTTCTTTTAACATTATTTTCATTACACATGTACCAAAATTTTGACGAAATGTTTTTTAAAAATATTAAGAAATGGACATACAAATATAATTATTCAAAGTCTTGATTGTTTGTTTCCCTAAGACTGGTCTTAAACACATGCATCCTAGCACTAAACAAATAATCAAATTAAAAACCTTAATACTTTAAAGTAAATCGTTTTTCCTTATATGCTTAGAGTTTTGCAAAACAATCAGGTCTCCAGACAATGCAACTGCCGGACAACGATTTGGCCTATCTCATCACAAACAGTAAAGACGATCTGTCCTTCTACGATAAACTCAACGTCAACATGTATTATGAATGTCCAGGTAGAGTGATCAGAAATGTATACAATTATATTCCATATAAGCTGTCAAATTTAAATACAAATGTATTAAAAATATTATTTCTTGCATATATACGATGGTTTTATCCTTATTCCGCTTTTGATATTCAGCAACATGCTCGTTGACTTGTAATAATGGTGGATTTGCCAAGATGAACTATCTTGGTGTCTGTTCATGCGAGTGCCCAGATGGTCTGACGGGAGCAGACTGTTCCGAGCTAGACACTTCTAATAGTAAGTTTTTTTTGTGATATTATACAGAAATATACGACACTTGTAGTATTTATAAGATAAGCTTCGAAGAAAATTATTAATAAATTATGTAGCAAATGTAAAGTTACCCGCCTTTTTTTAGGTTGTGGAGGAATCATTGACTTAGCATCACCGGGATCCAGTCAATATGTCGAAATGACGTCATACACAACAAATCTTCTCTGTACCTGGCTGATAAAGGTACATTATTTTTCCCGCTGATTTTAAAATCATGAGTTTTATTTTGTTCTGTGTGTAATTCTCCTTCTCTTGGTTGAACTAGGCTCCACTGAAGACTGTGGTGAGGGCTACAATTGAATACCTTGACTTACCTGACAGCTCCAATAATAACTGCTTGCACTTCCTCATCTTTAAGGACTATATGATTGGAGAGCCTGGAAAACAGTAAGACCCTCTTTTAATGAAAATCATCTATAACAGAAATCAGTTACATGTATTGCAATTAAAACAGAGAGGAACATTGTATGATCTAATGTTCCATCTTTATTTATGGTAATAAAACAAAACTGTGGATAAATATGTACCTTACAAGTTTCTAAAAGTTTTACATTTTATATTTTTATTTAAATAAAAACTTTCAACAAAATTGTAAATTCATTTAAATTATTTCGTAATTCAAAATTTACCTTGCAGGGCATGCGGAAATACTCCAGGTGCCGTGTACAATAAACATCTTCTTGGGGATGAAAACATGATGATGATTCGTTTTGACAGCGTTACCTTTCCGCAAGTTTCCCCTGGCACCGGTTTTCGCGTCAAGGTAGAGGCCATTCCTTCAGGTATGCTTACCTATGAAAAAGTAAAACAGGTGTCAATTATTTCAGATTTTTTACTAGGTTTCTTTTTAAAGAGAACATGCTACTTTTTTTTTCAATTCTATCCCACTGTGGGACGTGGAGACCGGTCCTTTGGATGAGACCGAAGTCCCGTGTCGCAGTAGGTACTGGCACGAAAAAGATCATCCCTCAATGCTCAATGGCCCTAGATGCCAAGTAAAGGACAAAATTTGTAGCTCTCCATGGCAAGTGGTGGTGTCTCCAAATGAGTGAAAAATTCTCGAGAGGGACGTTAAAGAGCATATAATCAATCAATCTTTTTAAATTAAGGTTGCTATAGCCACCCGTGTAAGTTTGGTGCCACCTGTCACGAGGGGACTTCAGCTGACCAGTACACCTGCACATGTCCTGAGGGATTCTCTGGACAAAACTGTGATTATGTCACAGGTAAGAAAATATATAATCGTTTGTTAACATGTTGGATTCCGATTCCCCTGGGGTTTTTTTACTTAAAGACTCTGCTTATAAACAACTAAAAAGCGAAAATGCGCAATTAATTATCCACATTTACAATTATTTAACAAATAGCTCCGAAATTTAAACATAGAAATACTTTTTGAAGATGATGTTTGTACTGAGTAAAGAAACATTCTTTCATTATACGTTAGCCGATGCAACAGTGAGGTCTACTTTTGATAAAGATTACACTGGTAGTATTTTTCAACAAGATCCCACATCGCAATTTTGGTGGAGTATTGTATCGGTAAGAATTTTTGTTATTTTGTTTAGAGATATGATTTACAATAAAAATATATTTTATAATTAAATCAATAAATAATTTTTATAATAAAATCAAATATATATTTTATAATTAAATCAAATAAATATACTTTATATCATTAAATCAAATAAATATACTAGTATTTTATAATAAAATTTAAAAAAAATGTCGGCAGAAGACATACAATGGATATCACTTTCCAAAAAGATCATTTTCCTTGATGATTTATGTAATTTTTGTATGAAATATATTTTTCTTGTAGCAAAAAAATTTTGACGGTACTACCGTATATCCTCATTCCGGAACATTATTCGCCACCATGGTTCCCTACCTCACCGTGTTCTACCTCTATTACACAACCAAACTCCGAACAGAAGCCACATTTGAAGGTTAATTAAAGTTTTGACATTTCAATCCGTGAAACCAGTAAAAATAAAACCCCAATCTCGGTGATTCAGTCGTAATTTGATAACGCAATTAAATATTCATCTTATTAAAATAATTATCAATCACATTTGGAAGACGTTTTAAATTGAATATATTTTTTTTGTTTTCAAAATCAGCTACAGAACGTTGCCTGAACATCACTTATATTATGGACAACAAGACTGATCCTAACTACCCACAATACTACACCAAATTAATAGTCACAGTCCTGGACGGGGAAAGCGTACTCAACGAATACACCATCGCTGGTGGTACAGACATAATATGGCGGCACAAACTTGTGGATTTACCAGCTGTCAATAATCTAAAGGTCTCATTTTTCTTTCAATTATTCACTTATTATACCCCTCGCTTGAAATGTGGGAGGATATATAGTGATAGGGATGTCCGTCTGTCTGTCTGTATGTCCGTCCGTCGTCTGTTACGCTCCTATGACCCTCCTCTTTTACCACTGAATAAAAATTAAGGAAACTTTCACAGAATCTTTCCCACCCAGTGCCATTGTGCACCTCCTATTTTACTTTTTGATCCGCCTCATATTTTGGGTCTCCAAGAACAAAACATGGACCACTCTTTCTACAATATTGAAGGGTATCCATCTCTTATCCGCAATTCTTCCTATACCACTGAATAAGATTTAATTATGCTTTCACCAATTTTTTTTTTTTACATAATGCCATTGTGTTACTCTTACTTTACTTTTTGATCTGACACTTATTTCGGGTCTTCCAGATTAAAACATGACCTCTGCTATTATGACCATATGAAAGGCGGGGGGAGTATCTTTTAGTGAGCCCATTGCTCACAGTAACTCTAGCTTTATTTTTTTTTTAATCAGAATTTATAATTATGAAACGCTGAGAATGAAACTTCCCTTTTTAAAATATTTTTTTTCTGCAATGAATAAAATTATCATATTAAAGCTTAAGTTTTATGAAATGCATTTTTATCAGGTTGAGATAACTGGTGTTTATGGGTGGAACACATTTGGAATGGATGACCTGCTTATATTGCCGAGTTCCTGTGGTATTTATTCCAAGAATTGAAAGGATTTTTTTTTCACAATTCTATCAACATACTCAATGCAAATTTTTTGGCCAATCATTATGGTCAAATACATTTTTATCCTAATTAATTAGACATCATTTTCTTTTAACAGACATATCTCTGTAAGCGAATCATATAAATTATTTTACTTTGGACAATTGTTCCATGGTGATTTTATGAAAATTTTAACTTCAAGATTTAAGTTTGATAATTGAAGTTATTTGATAGTAAGTGTGACAATTGTTTAGGTTGTGTTAACCATCAATGCGTTAATGGACAGTGTATTCCCAGTGGTGAGACGTACACGTGCCAATGCGATGCTGGGTATTCTGGAAATTATTGTGAAAACAGTGAGTAGACTTTATATAACGACTTTCAAATACTTAATATTCATATTACAATGATTGTCAATAACATTTAAGACTATACATTTATAATTTTTTAAAGAAATCGTCCAAATGGATTTGGAATAAAAACTTCATTTAAGATCAAACAATTGACTTGTGTCGTAAACTTTTCTTTTCATCTTCTTGCAGATGGATGGTGGCTATATTGGACTGCAAACTTGCTACAAATTCCTTGGTAAAGGGGATTCAAGTTTGACACGTACAGGGCCACGTGCCCTAACCCAGAACCCTCAAATGGAAAAATTAACTGTTTTTAAAAAATCTTCTTCTCAAGAACACAGGGCCAGGAAAGATATATTGTGTCCAAGTAAGTTTTTTTTTTTGGAATACTAGTACTATAACAGTAGTCTCCATCTTGTGTTTTCTCCTTTTGATTTTCAAATGTTTTTCTAAAAGGACATAAAACCTTTTCATTTTTTTCAATAAAGGATGTTTAGAAAGAAAGATGCAAAGAAATAGAATATGTTTAGCTTCATTTTGTGGTATTTAAAAGAAAGTTGAGGAAATGGCCAACCAAAGTTTTACATAGGAGTATATAGGAAAAATTTAAAAATGTAGTCTGCACTTGGCCAGGAAAGATGAAACTTATGCTGATTATTTCAGATAGTGTAAATTTAAGTTTGTACAATAAATATCGTTTCAAAATTAATAAGCTTTTTACAAGGAGTATATAGGAAAAATCTTTAAAAATCTTCTTCTCAAGAACCATTTGGCCATGAAAGATGAAACTTAGTTTACATAAAAGTAAATTCATCTTTGTTCAAACATGGGGGGGGGGGGGGGCCAAAATGGCCAACCAAAGTTTTACATAGGAATATATAGGAACAATCTTTAAAAATCTTCTTCTCAAGAACCACTGGGCCAGGAAAGATAAACTCATGTGGAATCATCCTAGTAGTGATAGATTCAAGTTTACACAAATCATGGTCAGCGTGGGGCGCGTGGGGCCTGTAAAATGGGTGACAAAGTTTTACATAGGAATATATAGGAACAATCTTTAAAAATCTTCTTCTCCAGCACACTGGGCCAGGAAAGATTGTCATGTGGAATCATCCTCAGGTAGTGCAGAGCAAGTTTGTTCAAATCATGCCCTGGTAAGGGGCCAAAATGGTAGCCATTTGTATATAGGAAAAATTTAAAATTCTTATTATTGAACCACTGGGCCAGGAAAGACAAACTCATGTGGCTTTCTCAGATAGTGTTTTTTTTTTCTTTTTTTACCAAATCAGGGGGATCCCCCAGAGTGTTAAAACAGGCTCTGTTTACCTGGTAAACTTTCAGTTCTGATCTTATGTGCTTTTTCCTGCATATATGCTATGATGTGCTGTGGCCCCTGGGCCTCTTGTTAAGATTATATTTTTTTTTTAATAATTTTTAAAGAAAGCTTCCAAATGGATTCATTTAAGATCAAACAATTGACTTGTGTCGTTCTTTTAAGCTGATGCAGTAGATGGTGGCTATACAGAGTGGACTGCATGGAGCACGTGCACCAATTCCTGTGGTGGAGGAACCCAAACACGTACACGCACGTGCACTAACCCAGAACCCTCAAATGGCGGAGCTGACTGTGAGGGGGAGAGTAGTCAGACACAGAGTTGTAATGATATATTGTGTCCAAGTAAGTTTTTGTTTCTGGAATACAAGTACTATTACAGTAGTCTCCATTTTGTGTTTTATCCTTTTGATTTACAAATTGTTTTTTTTTCTAAAAGGACTGAACACATATCATTTTCTTTCAATAAAGGATGTTTAGAAAGAAAGATGCAAAGAAGTTGAATATGTTTAGCTTCATTTTGTGGTATTTAAAAAAGATGAGAAAAGTACGACAAGAGTAAGATCCTGAATTTACAAAAATGTACTCCGCATCGAAAGACTTATGCTGATTTTTTTGGAGGGATAGTTTATGTATTATGTACAATAAATATCGTTTCTTGATTAATAAGCTTTTGTACAAAATAAAAAAGATCTGCATGGAAGTCTTTTGACCACTTGTTTTTCGAGGTTTTTAAAAATGAAGAAACAGCATATGACATTAGTTCATGGATTTAGTTTACATAAAAGAATTATCCCTCTTAACATGGGGGAGGGTTGAAGCATTCTTTTCTTATATTGATACAGGGTAAACTTTCTTGATGAATTAAAGAAAATTAATTCTTTTAATTAGTTGATGGTGGCTACACAGAATGGTCAGCGTGGGGCGCGTGCTCTGTAACATGCGGTGATGGTGTCCAGACTCGTACACGCACGTGCACAAACCCAGCTCCAGCACACGGAGGAGCAGATTGTGTCGGAGAAGATAGTCAGACGCAGAATTGTACTGCCAGCGCATGCCCTGGTAAGGGGTTGTAGCTATTTGTTCGAAAATTTAATTGTTATTATTGTTTTGGAATTGGACAAATCTGTGTTTTCTTGTTGTTTTTTTTTTTTTTTTTTACCGGGGGGGGGGGGGGTGGGTAGGGGGTCAACGACTGGCTATGATTATGGAAACTATATGTAAAATGGTGATTCTTTTTTGCCTTCTAGCATGCATATATATGTATGCGTATACAACTTTCGGATCAGCATTCCTCTCGATAATCAGTTTTTCTTGTGTAATTTTCTTAAAATATAATATTAAACACAATCTTACAATATATTCAGTTGATGGTGGGTACACGGACTGGTCTGGTTGGAGCACGTGTACAGTCTCGTGTGGTGGCGGTACCCAAACTCGTACACGCACGTGCACAAACCCTCCACCACAGAATGGTGGAGCTGATTGTGTAGGTAGCGATAGTGAGACTCAGAGCTGTAACAATGTTTTGTGTCCAAGTGAGTACTTGTTATTAGAAACAACAAGGATGTTTTATTGCAGATCATACGAATTCAATATGTATCTACTAAATGGAAATTTTACTAAATGAGATTTTAATTTAATACAAATCTAGAATTTAACTAAAATTGCAATGAGTGAAAATTCAGTTGTATATCTCTGTGTGATCACTGCATATAATTAAGTTGGTCCATATATGTTTGCACATGGCAGCCATTTTACGTTTGCTTTCAATAGTTGACGGTGGTTACACTGAGTGGTCAGCATGGAGCAGCTGTTCGGTCTCGTGTGGTGAGGGTGTCCAAACTAGAACACGCACCTGCACAAACCCGGCTCCGCAAAATGGCGGGGCTGATTGTGTAGGAGAGGATAGCCAGACACAAAGTTGTACGGAAGGCGCATGTCCCAGTAAGTTGTATATCTATTTCCTTCTAAAAGAATTAAATTTAGAAGAAATTCACCTTATAAACAAAATCTGCAATTCCAAACTTGTATTCTGGAATAAATTTGAATAGAAAAATTAAAAACTGAATGCTTATAAAATTATCCAAAATATATAAGAATATATGTACTAGCAAAAGGACTTATTAATCTCATCCGAACTCTTAATGCTTAAATGATTTTGAACTGAATCCTGGGTAAACTCAAAAGTAATTAACATCAAACTGAATTTTAAAATAATCAAATATACTTTTTACATATTTTTTGCCTATATTATCAAATTGCACATGCATTCTAGTTTTAGAACTGGTAATATAATAAACCATTGGATTAAAAGGTTCCGGGATAATATTATATAAAAAATACATTACTACCCTTAAAGACCTACTGAAATACATAATCACAAGTAATTATATTTTTATGCTTCAAATTAGTATCAAATAATTGCATGATTAAATCTAGATCGTGAATGAGTTTCTTCTATTGTATACATGTATGTGATTTTAATAAAAATGGTTTTTTGGCTGTTATTTTACATTATTTTTTTCAATTCTGAGTTGAAAAGTTTTACATGAAAAAAAAAAAATAAGAAGCAATACAATTCCCCAAAATTAACTTTTTGGTCCGTTTAAGTCAATTTTTTAAATCTGAAAGGAAGTTTTCTTACGCAAAAATACTAGATTTTGAAGGGACCCTGTTTTACATTACATTGTACGAGTATTGTTGCTCTCATGACATCTGATATGTATCTTATTTAAGTTTGTAAATAAGTTTGATGATTTTATCTTTTTTATCGTTTACAGCAAGTTTTCATATTTTCAAAACCTTAAAACATGATTATTTGCACTGACTGTTGATGTCGTGTTGATAGACAGTGTTTTATCATCAAATAGTTCTCAAATGTTGAGAACATTTTTTTTCAATTTATTTTTAGTTTGTCAATATAAACACAAAAATTCATACAATTCGGCAATTTCAAGTGGAAACAAAATGTTGCAATATTTACACTGTATAGTGTATAGTCTAGTACATTATAATTGAAACACGTGAAAATATTGAAACTTAGCTTTATATCTTGATTTATTTCTTATTTATGTCAAAAAAGTTAATGCATTTATTTATATTATAATGTAAATTTTATTTTTTAGTATATATTCCTTTAGAGGACAAACAGAGTAAGCAACCAGAGGCACTTTGCTTATCAATTTTTGCTTTATATTCATTCATATTGGGCCAGTTATAATTTTAGCATATTTGTTGCAAAAAAACATTTGAATTAATAGAATTGAAAAAAAAGATTCTAATGATAAAATTTTGATTAATTTAATGCTTAACTATATAAATGGATCATTATTAATTAATGAATACTTCTTACAGTAGCATGAATAGGAGTTATTTATCATATTATTTAATCTGTATAAAAACAAATGTGTAGCCCGTCTGACCAAAGTAATATAGATCTGAAACATAAACAGATCCTGTAATTGATAGATCTGTTTGGTAAGAATGTTCCTTATGGCTTTATTTCCGAAATAAATTTCAGAAAATCATATACTGATAAAGGTTTTATTTTCATGCTAGGGAGCAAAGCATCCAATGTTTCACTGCTAACATTATTGGGTGTGCGCATATACTTGACTCTCATAAATGCTGCTTGTGATTTAAGTCACATTTTAAAGTTTTAAATTGTGTGTTAGTGATTGCTTTGAGCTCCTGATATGGTATAATTTTTTTAATCTTCAGCCATGACCACAACTTGATCAAACAAATGTTACCACAGTTCCCATTTAAAGCTCTTTACTTTCAATATTATCAGGAGAATATTTTCAACATAAACCACTATCAAATTTATTTCACAGATCTTCAAAATATATTGAATGTTCAAATTGTCACAAAAGTGTTGCACCCCTGACATTTTAGCATCATTTTTGGGTATAATGTTTTTGTGAATTGAGATACTAGTATCAATGAGATATTTGGCATGTACGTATTTTAGATACTATTTAAAGACATATGCCGAGACAGAAAGACAGAAAAATCTATTTTCATTGCCTTTATTTTTATTTTGGTTTGATAGTTGTGTGTTTGGTCATATTATTTTTAATTCACCTTAAGAATACACAAGACCTTTCAACTTTAAAGCAAAAATCCATGAAAACTTACCCTTGCTCACTTTTTAAGGATTACATTAATCAAAGAATATATTTTCACCTAGCTTTTATTATCTACCACGAGCGAACTAACAGCACATCAACCTAAATGCTATACAGACACATTATTTTTGCTATATCTAGTTGATGGAGGCTTCACTGATTGGTCTGTATGGAGCACGTGTACGGTTTCCTGTGGCGGTGGCACTCGAACACGTACACGCACGTGTACAAACCCGGCTCCAGAAAATGGGGGCGCTGATTGTGTAGGAGACAGGAGTCAGACGGAGAATTGTAATACTCAGGAATGTCCGAGTAAGTTATTTTAAACAAAAGGATGCCTTGCTCAAACTCATTACACTTTCCAAAATAGTTTACAAAAATCAAAAGTTTATTATCTTGATTTTTGAAATCCGAAATAAAAACCAGTACAAAATTAGTAGCATTTGACTTAATTTGTTATATATAAAGGTTTTAATCGATTCCCGTTCCTATACCGCTTTAACGTTAGAACGTTAAACCTAGGTAGGTACTTTCTACACCAAGCGCTTAGCATTGGATGTATCAAAAGTTTATTGGTTGAAATCCCTCCAAAACCAAGGCCCGGTGTCCCGTAAAATACTGAGTAATGTAGTTAAAAAAAGTTCCCCTTTGATAGGCCATAAGAATTATGCATGGGGACAAGATTTATGGCACCTATCCAAAAGCAAGAGGCATATCTATATTAGGGAAAACCCTTGAAAAGGGGCATTAGAAACAAATAAGAAATAGTTATCAATTATGGGCAATCAATATGGGCATCATGCGCGGATCTAGAGTGGGTGGGGATCCGGAACACCCAACCCCCCTTGAATTTGTAGAGTTATTAAATGTATATACTAAACCAAGTAAAAGTGACCTTGGAAATCCCCACTCCCTGGAGAACGCGAACCCCTCCTCACTGGTATGAAGTTGTTTTAAAAGTCAACGAATACCCCCACCCACCCCGAAATAGGTTTGTCATGTTTTGGAAATGAGTTTATGGGGTTTTTTGTTTGTTTGGTTTTTTGTTTTTTTTTTTTTTGGTTTTGTTTTGTTTTGTTTTTTCGTTTTTTATGTTTGGATTTTTTTTTACTTGCCAAGAAATCTCTTGATTGGAACTTTTTTGGGCCTGTGGTGTACCCCCCTCCCTGGAAAAAGTTCTGAAATCCATGCCTGGGGCAATATAACGATAGACATTTCCATTCATTTGCCTGTTTTATGTTTGGATAACGTTTTTAAAAAATGGAATTGTCAATCAATGCATTATATATTTTCTCTATTTTTATTCATTTAACAGTAGACGGAGGTTTCACTGAGTGGTCTGTTTGGAGCACCTGCACGGTATCCTGTGGTGGAGGAACCCAAACACGTACACGCACGTGCACCAACCCAGAACCATCAAATGGGGGAGCCGACTGTGAAGGAGAAAATAGTCAGACTCAAAACTGTAACACGGCGGGATGTCCAAGTAAGTAAAACAAAAGGCCCATGGACCACATTGTTCACCTGAGTAGCGTTGGTGATGCCGTTCTTTACCAGATTTCCCGCCTTGTAATACCTAGTGTGACCTCGTCCTACACCCCCCTTCCCCCCGCGGGGGGTCACAATTAGAATGATTTGGAATCTACACTACCCCCAGGATGCTTGCACATAAGATTCAGCTTTTCTGGCCCAGTGGTTCTTGAGAAAAAGAAGAGTTTTTCCTATGTTTTCCCTATATATTTCTATGTAAAACTTGGATTCCCTATTGTGGCCCCGTCCAACCCCCGGAGGTCATGATTTGAACAATTTAGAATAAACACTACCCCAGAATGCTTCCACATAAGTTTCAGCTTTTCTGACCCAGTGATTCTTAAGAAGAAGATGTTTAAAGTTTTTTCCTCTATATTTCTATGTAAAAATTGGATTCCCTATTGTGGCCCCGCCCAACCCCGGGGGTTATGATTTGAACAATTTAGATTCTCCACTTCCCCGGGATGCTTCCACATAAGTTTCAGCTTTTCTGGCCCTGTGGTTCTTAAGAAAAAGATTTTTAAAGTTTATATATGTGTATTTCTAAGTAATACTTGGATTCCATATTGTGGCCCCGTCCCACCCCCGGGGGTCATGATTTGAACAATTTAAAATCTACACTACCCCAGTATGCCTCCACTTAAGTTTCGGCTTTTCTGGCCCAGTAGTTCTTGAGAAGAATATTTTTTTAATGACCTCACCCTAATTTTGTATTTTCTTGATTATCTCCCCTTGTGATGGGTCCTGGCCCTTCATTTTAACAATCTAAACTCCCCTTTGCCTAAGAATGCTTTGTACCAAGTTTGGTTAAAATTGGCCCAATGGTTCTTGAGAAGAAGTCAAAAATGTGAAAAGTTAACAGACGGACGGATGGACAGACAGACAGACGGACAAAATGTGATCAGAAAAGCTCACTTGAGCCTTCGGCTCAGGTGAGCTAAAAAAAAATGATGCAATGATGATCAGTCTTTACTTGATTTTAGTTTGACAATACTCATATTGAAGAAGGGGGTAGTCAAAAGTCAGTAAAGGACTTGCAGACAAACATGCAGATATTTATCTCTACATTTATCTTTTATGCATCTTGACAACATACTAGACTTTCCGTCCTTTGAGATGACATTTTAAATCATTTAACATAATATCTGAAAATCAGTTGGAATGAAATTTCTAAAAAAAAAAAAAACAAGAGGCCCACGGGCCTTATAGGTCACCTGAGTATCATGTAACAACTTTCCAGCGATTGTATTTGGTTCGTGTTTTAATCCAAAAGCCATGAAATTCACAAATTTTGAAGGAGGCACCATTGCTTATCAAAGGGCAGATTTCAAAGCATTAATCTATTTTTAGTCAAAGTACCCCCCTGGTACCCCTGACCCAGCGGCCCTGAAATTATCTATTTTGAAAGAGACCCCTTTCTTCATTATAAGGCCAGCATTTTTTTTTATGTTTAGGTTTAGTTATGAACATGAGAAAAAAAAAGTCCCGAAGGAAAAGGAAATAAATTTTTTTTTTGATAAATCAATTATTAACATTTGTACATTCTTTTTTTATGCTGTTCTAATAGGCTCCTTACCACTGGACACATAATGCTTACAAATAGGAAAGTAGAACATTTAATTGCTTATTTCATCATCTGCCAGTTTGGGCCAGTTATATAAATTTTGTGATGTTGGTCAAAATATATTTTAAAAAATCAATTCTTTAAAAGTCTTTCAATATATCTTCATTTTTTAAATATGTGTTAGGTGAATGTGTAGACATTGTTCTAAAATTTACTTGATGCCTAAAATTATAATTCCTGTCATAAAACAGACAGGGAGTATTGGGAAGTAGGGTGAACATTTTTTTTCAATTAAGTGTGAAATAATTTTTCTGGCTGATACAAATGATACTACATGCCTGTATATATTTGTATATTCTTGCCGCCTTTTAAAAGTTGATTTTTTTTATTTCTTCAGGTTATTGTTTATTTCTTCCTCAAATGGACTTAACTTCTCCCATAGTTTTATTCATTACATCTGATGCATAAGCAACCCTTTTCTGAAGAATGATGCTTAGACTGTAAGCTATAACAGAGACCTAAACTGTAACAATGTCGCTGGCAATATGCAATAGCCACCACGGGCAGTTTAAAACCTGGGGGAGGAAAATAATTTACAGACAGATACTTTTGAAACGAATACATAATTATCTCACCAGCATGTCATTGTGCAGCAAAGTCGTCGGCATTTTATTTGTCCTTTGAATGGGTGAAACGTTTTGAATGGCACTCGTATCAATGAATTTTACACTAAACCAAGCTATCTTCTCAGATAGATCTACCCTAGCTTTATTTACCCGCCGTTGCATCTTAAAACCGGAAGTGCGAGTTCGTAAATTTGAAATCTCGACCCCGACTCAAATTTGACATTGGAAAGAAAAAATTGTTTTATTTTTTTCTTAAAATTCAAAACCTTGAGCGGAGGGTTTGTAAAACTGGAAATAAAATAAATCCTGGCCTTAAATATGTAATTAGATCATTAGTATATTAACCAGGAGCAAAGGATAAGATGTTCAAAGAATTCATGCATTTCACTATATAATCATTAGAGCCCCACCCTAAAACAAGAACCCCTGACCCTGGGGCCATAAAATTTACAATTTTGGTAGAGGCACTCTTGCTCATCATAACTATGTACTTAGTTAGTTTATTTAATACCCAGGAGCAGAGAAGAAAATTTTCAAAGAATTCATGTATTTTCACTATATAATCAATAGAGCCCCGCCCTAACACCAAAACCCCTGGGGCCATAAAATTCACAATTTTGGTAGAGGCACTCTTGCTCATCATAACTATGTACTTAGTTGGTTTATTTAATACCCAGGAGCAGAGAAGAAGATTTTCAAAGAAATAATGCATTTTCACTACCTACTTATTTAGCCCCGCCCTAGCACTAGAACCCCTGACCCCAGGGCCATGAATTTCACAATTTTGGTAGAGGACTCATTGCTGATTACAATCATGCAAACAGTTTGACTGCTTGATGTCAAGGAGTAAAGAAGAAGATTTTTAAAGATTGCATTAATTTTAGTGGTTTTGGCCCCGCCCCTCAGGCCCCAGGGGGGCAGGGATCATGAAATTCACAAATTTTGTTCCCCTTCACCCATAGATACTTTGTGCCGAATTTGGTTGAAATTGGTTCAGTGGTTTGCAGAGAAGAAGCTGAAAATGTTCAATTGTGAACGCACGACGGACGACGGACGACGCACGACGACGGGCGAAAACAGATAGCAATAGGTCACCTGAGTTTACTCAGGTGACCTAAAAAAAAAATATGTTTGCATAATATTAACTTTATAAATCCGATGCACCCTAATTTATCACAAAATAAGTTATTAACAGAATGTTTGGTTTTCAGTTACTTCTTCCAAGTGTGATTTTGAGGAAGAAATTGAAACTAACTGCTTCCTGAAGGAGGGAATTAATGACGATTTTGATTGGACAAGGCAAAGTGTATGCATATTCAAAAACAGATGCAAGAAGTTCAGAATAAAAAACTTATTTGGTTTCTGAAAAACAAAAATTGAAAAAAGGCTTAAGGAGCTCGAATATACTTTTTTACATTAGTAAAATTTATATTTTTTATGCGTTGATATCTGAGAACTTCTATGTTTCAATGCCACTTTGTATTCCATTCAGGGAGGAACCAAAACTCGTCGCACAGGACCGGGTCTAGCATATTCAGGTTACTTCTACAAATATATAGAAGCTAATGGAAAGGAACCATACAGCACAGCAGAATTGGTCAGCAACGGAGTTTTTGCTGGTAGCAAACCATTTTTTATGCATTTTTTGTATTTTACATTTGTAGTGGCTATTTTTAATTGTTAAATGATTTATAGGTTTCATTAAAAAAAAGATTGTTCTATATTGTGAACATATTGTTACATTTTCCATTTCCATCCAAATTTGGATGATTTTTGCTGACATAACCTAAAATTAAAACATGACCCAATCAATTTATGTCTCTTGTTAACTGAAGTATCACAGAGTAACATCCCATATATTATCCAAAAATCAACTACTCCTTTTTATTTAAACCCATCATGAGACATTATTTTCAAGCATGAGTAAAAGTTTTAGAGTCTAACTATATAAAAGAAAATTGTTCACAAAATAAGTTGCTTATCAAACCAATAAACTCAAGACTTTTAATCTAGAGTAGATTTTGTCAAGACGTAAAGACGCCAAATAATATATATATATCTTAAATTTTTAATTCTTATTACTTACCTTGACTTTATTCTTAGATGCGACCTACTGCTTTGAGTTTTACAACCACATGAAAGGAAAGCACATTGGTTCCCTGGAGGTGATAACAGTTGAAGGTGGAATCGAAAACGTCATCGACCGTCTGGACACTTCCAGAAAGGGCTGGGTGAAGTATTACACGACCCTGCAGCTCAACAGTCAGACACAAGTACGCTCTTACTAACTGTATCAATATCAAATCACAGTGACATAATTTTCACAAATTAAAATATGAAGACGTAATCAACATTCAAAATTTCAATAAAAATTTAATACAAAAGAAAAGAAAAAAAAGTTGGTGAGATTGAACTTTTTACGTGGTGCTATATTTATTACTTTAGTAACTTTATATATTGAACTAATTCATGCTCCAAATCACCTGTGCTTAAATTGTGTTTAGTTTTCTATCAAGCTTTGAAACATTAATTAACAAAAGTAATTTTGAAATCTTTTGAATATTGAAATTTACAAGGTTTTCATATTCTCGTATGATCGTCATTTCGTTCTTTGGTATTCATTTATATTATACTTTAAACAAATTTGTATATTTCATAACTCATCATTGTTTTCAAAAACATTTCTTCTTTCAAAAACATATAAAACTTGTAACGGTGTATCTTATGGGTCAGCTATTCAATTTAAGTTGAAAGTTAACATTCGAAAGTTGATATTTGTTCAAAAATTTTACATTAAACATGCCTTTTTGCCTCATTTCACTCCAGAACGTCTTTATTTTTTTATCTTTCATTGATCTATTATATTTTAAGTTGTCCTTGTTGTATAAAAATGAATTTTTATTAAATTGATCCATTTCAAATGCCATCTGACCATTTTAACTTACTGTAATGGTAAGCTGAAAAATTATTTTAGTTTTAAGAGAAATTACCTTTTCTATAGGAGTCTTCTATTTGTTTTTCAGCTTATCATTCGAGGAACGAGAGGGTCTGGGAATAAAGGGGACATCGCCGTGGACAACGTCTCTATTTCTATTTGTTAATTTTGTCAGTTCACCAACAGATTGAACACTTTTTAGATGTGTATTTTTATAAAATGGATCGATTTAGATTCCTAAAAAAGATATATTATTGTATTAAAGCATCAATTTGCTACTAGTAAAAGAATGTGATCAATGTACCAAGTTTTTCTTAACTTATACAAGTTTATGAGTTTATAAATCCTACGTGTAAAAAGTTTCGTAAATGCATTTTAAATTTAGATGATATATACCATTCATAGTCTTGTAAGAATGAAGAGATGAACATCGTACATGTGCTTTCAAGGATGTTTGTTCAACAGGTTCTAGTAAATATATCAATGTCTGCATAATCTTGAAAAACACAATACATGTAAATTTTTATTTAAAAGACATCAAAATAGATTATGTTCTTATCTAAACCATTGCAGTCATTTATATTTTGCAAATGGGAAATATCAATAATTGTATGTGTTCTGTGCAGTCTTTTGTGTGCACGTGGCGCTCTCTTTTGATGTGGTCATCGCCCTTTGTAATGCCCATCAACGTACTCTATGAGTTATATCTCATAATTATATCCCTCTATTCTACATGTACTTGTGTTTTTACTTCTCAATCATGAATGTACACAAATGTATGTTGTGTTTTTGCTATGCGGGTATATAAAATAAATTTGATCAAGCTAATTGGACCAATTGTTTTCATAACATGTTTTAGTACTAGTAAGTACAGTCGCAAATTTGACAACTCTTTTGAAATTAAAGACTGCTCACAGGATAATTTATTGTGGTTTAATAAGAATATAGGACATTTATATGTATGAATTACTCGTATGAAATCTTTTTTTCATTGTTATCAATTTTATATTTTGAGCAAGTTTCTTATTTGCTTTTTTTTTCTTTCATTTGTAAATAAATAAATACATTTGCACATTATACAGTGTTCCTTATTCTTGTAAAAGAACTTAAAGAAGAAAACAGAAATCAATATCTATCAGACATCCCATTGTTTAATATCTCTCTCTCTCTCTCTCTCTCTCTCTCTCTCTCTCTCTCTCTCACAGATAGATATGTATATAGTATCTACACACATGTAATTGTTATCTGTGAAGTGCAGCGAATACTATGATAAACCTTAGTTTATCAAAATACAAAGATCTCGTTATATGACAACCTCTCCATAACAATCATCAGAAGGATACAGCGATGTACGAGCGATGAAACCTAGTCATTGTGAGTTAATTTACATTTCATACTTTGTCCGTGTGTCTGTTTTTATATATCTCGCAAAATTTGTATTTCCAAAGTTTGGTAGCAGTACACTTTGTCTTTCATTAATATGTTTAGTTTTTTAATATTTTCTGAATAATACAATTGAATCAACGACAGTTTCGTTTCTTCAACTTTTTGAAAGGTGTCGAGCTTTTCTCATAAGTGAGATTTTAAAATTAAGAAAAATGTGCATAGGAAATTATTTAAAACGTATTGCCTACTTTTTGTTTTTTATTAGATATTTTTTTAGGTTCAAGTATCATAAAAACGATGTTTACATCGAAGTAAACTATGTTTTGTCACGGCCCTTAAAATATTTACCTGTTCATATAAATCTTACGATCTGATTATAAATCTGATTTCTTGCTCTCTGTATTACAGTTTGTATGTTTGTTGTCATTCTGATAAGCTTTAATCCAGGTAAGATATCTATATCTAGTATATGATTATACAATCTTCATTCGATACGTTGTTAGGTCTACAATGATAAAAATATATAAATGACTATGCTTCAAACCATTGATTTATTCCTTTACAAATTATTCATATACTTTAACTAAAATTATATGCGCATATATTTTTTTTACAGTTATTGCATGAAAATTGGTTTATAATTCCGGTTTTGATTTTTTTTTTTTAACTTAATGCAAAAATGTCGCTGTAGCTATAATAAAATTAATGTTTTGTTGATGTTTCTAAATTATTAAGATAAACGCAACGTAAGGTTTCGTCTATCGACGCACGGCAAGAATGTTACTGACGTCATAATGACGTTATTTTTCTGTATTCTTTTTCAGTTCCTCAGCATATCTCTTTATCCACTTACGTGCTTCTTTTAAATAATATTTACAACCATTTTATTATAATCCAAATCGTTTTCAATTGTGGTAATATAATAATTTAAATGTTGTCTAAATGTTATTTCTTTTCTTTCGCGTTTTGGGTAAATCGTATGTATCATCCAAATATTGGTTTGTGTGTCGAAGAGAAACATTGATAACATTGTGTCGAAAGACAAGACACGAGGTCGTGTTTATTTTAATATTTTATAAAGTATTGCATACATCTTAATAAAATTTGAGGACTATTAAAGTCAAAATTAATGGAGTGTTAGTACAGAAACTTTAATTGAAATTTTGATTACTTATAGAAGTTGTGACATTGCTTTTGGACCAAGTCTTATACATAATTAAGAAATCTACATGAAAGCAGAATGTAAAACACTAGAAGTAATAAATATGTATTTAAAGCAATTTTAACTACAGATGCCTTGACAACTAAAGAAAATTCAAAATGGGGAGAACTTTGTGGAAAAACAACCATTCTGACACCCAACAAGTCGCTTACATTTCAAGGAAAAGTTAGTTCTGGTGCTCAAAAGTGTATCACCAGTTTTAAAACAAACGCAGGGTACTTGTTTCGATTAAATATCCGTTACGTACCTGACTTTCCGGGATGTGGAAATTCATATTTACATATTGGAAATGATATGTATCGGACTGACATCGACTCTCTTACGTCATATAAATTCTGTGATGTCATTTGGGATTTAGAGGTGGTTTCTAGAGGAAACTATCTATGGATTGTGTACAACAATTCTGGAAATGTGACACACAGTAAAGAAAAACCAATAATCAGGATAGAGGTTCTTAAGGAAGGTAAATATATGTCATTCTATACATATTTTCATAAGTCAATTATGAAAAAAAATTCCGACTTTTTATCACCAAGTAGAAACCTTAATCTATACACCAGATTGTGTGTAAGTGGAAATTCAAATTTGGCACTGAAACAATATTTGACTATGATATCTCCTTCAGTTACATACTTTCTGTATTGACTTTTCCAGTGACCAATATGATATCTCCTTCAGTTACATACCTTCTGTATTGACTTTTCCAGTGACCTCCTGCCCAGATGATTTCTTCCGTTGTTCCCCTGTCCAGTGCATACCACGTGACCAAGTATGCGACAGCAAGATTGACTGTCAAAACAGGAGGGATGAATATTGCTGTAAAGCTTTTTCTCTTCTTTTTTTTCTAAACATTTTTTTGAAAAAGATTAATATTGATAAAGAAAGGTTTAAAAACATATTTTTAAAAATACATTTTAATACCCGTTTACAATATTATGAATTGTACCGTTTAATTCAGTAAACAGTCCGTTGGGGAGTGGGTCTTTGCTGGGGAAGCCTGCTTGTTTTGAATGTGCTGACGGCAGTTGTATTAATCCCGTCCTTCCTGTGTACGATGAGGACTTCGAGAAACCATTATCATATCTCTGTGACGGCTATAACCACTGTCTGGATGGCACTGACGAAAGAAAGGGTACGTCATCAAATTAAAATACAAGTAAATCTAAATACATTTCATGGATCCTCGGAAACATGATTGGTTCCACTTTTATTATTTTTTAACAGATATGTGTTACAGAACGAAGAGTAAAGTATCAGACCTGTTGACGTGCGTTCCCATGGACACCAGATATGGAATCAACACTAGTGTGACAATGTGGCAGGACCGCGTGTGTGACGGAATTCCTCATTGTCTCTACGCCCAAGACGAGGCTTCTTGTCTTTCTGGTGTCACTGGTACAAAAATTGAAATCAAATTTTCGTATCTGTGTAATGGCAAATGTGAGACACCTTTTGCTCTGGAAAAAAAAAATCTTAAATTAGATACATGTACATAGTTACTTCTTGATTTAGCAATAAACTGGTTCCATTAGATAGAGTCGCATGTATAATCTGAGGCCAAATAAAAGGGGGATTTATGCTTAGAGTTGATTTATCAGGTATTCACCAACAAGGTCGCTGTCAGATTAACTATTGAATGGCGATTCTTACAAATCACAACCATTCATGAGAATTTGTCACGTTATATCAATGTTGCCTTCACCCACAACGTTTCTGATTTGATGTATCATGCTACGAAAATCAAAATTGCTTTGGAAACAATACCGGTAGTAAATTGAAGTGAATTTAAGGGATATGCCGAGGGGTTTTTTTTAATATAAAAGGAGATGGATTTAGATGTAATCAAATCAATTAATACTGTCTTTCACCAATTTGCAATTTCAAATGTTATATGTTACAAGTACATGTAAACTATTTAGCATTTGAAAATTGTAAATTATTGAAAGGCAGTATGCTTAAAAGCTATTTTTGGTAATAGGTCAATATTAACCTTTAAATTAATACTTTTAATGACATCAAATTGTTCAAGATGTATCCAACTTTTTAAGAATTGCCAGTCTTTCTTATATGTATTGTAGTGAAGTTCCGTATGAACTCAAGTGTCATCATTATTCTAACCTGTGCTGGAACCCTCCTTGTTGCTTGGATAGCATGTTTTGCGTACAGAATACGTAAGAACTCTTTATTATAAATAAAATGATAGTAAATTATCGGTAACTATATCATATACTTTTCTACTGTTCAATTTTGTGAGTATTAATGCTGCTATGTATAGATATATATCCATAATTCTGTTGTATCGTTGTTTAAATTTGTCTCAATAATCTTGCCAAGTTAAAGAATTTTTTTACGATTGTAGGTAACAAAAGAAGAGAATCTTCAGATCCATTCCAGGATCAAATTACTTCGCGCAGTCGCATTTATCAGTCACGTGACTCCCAGAACCCTGCAGAAATATGTCGCTTACAAACTGTTTCTGAAGAACCCGAGAAATGGGAGTAGATTGGGGTTTCTTTTAATTTACGTTTATTTTACTACATATGTATATAAAATTCCATTGGTCATTCTTTTATCTCTGACATTGTAAATAAGTACAGAATAAAAATTTCAACTAATGCTTTGGTTGTTTAGTTTGAATTTTTATCAACCGTATTAAGATTATCAGTGGAGCAATTAACTAAAACTACAAATGAGTAAGATTTTCTTTCACTTTTTTATCAACATTGAAAAAAAGTTAAGAAGATCTTTGCAGGATACCACGGTCAAATGAGTAGCAGATGTTAACTTAGATCACTGTCTTCTGACAGGAGCATCAAACTAAAGCTCAACAAAATGAAAACAGAAAGAACTCTCAGCGAAAAAGAAATACATCAGGCTTTTTCTCCAAGATACCCAAATCTTACAGGAGTATAAGATTAAAAAACAAATACCAAGCACCACAGTAAATAGGTGAACTAATTGGAAAGGGATAAAAGAGACCACCACCACCCGCTGCCATGAAATACCGGTACTTGGAATAAAAAAGTATTATCATGAAGAGTGGATCACAAATGACGCACTCAGAAAAGTAAAGGAGAGGAAGGATAAGAAGGCCTGGTCGATCAATTCAAACAGAACAAGATCTGAAAAAGGCAAACGCACAAAAACAGTATGCAAAGGCTAACAAGAGAACAAAAGAAAGTATGAAAGCAGACAAAGAAACGTACATTGAGGAACAAGCCACGGAAGCAGAACAAGCTGCAAAAGCAGGAGGGATGAAAGACCTGTGTGACATCACCAAGAAGCTAGTTTGGAAGCAAAGCTAACAAGAAAGGCAAGTGAAAGACAAGACAGAGAAATAACTAGAGAACAAAGAAAGAGATGAAAAGGAGTTTTTCGATGAATTGTTGAATAGGCCAGTTCCACCTAATCCTCATATTGTTACACCAGTAGATGAAGACCTAGAAATAGACTGGGGACCACCTACTGGTCCACCTTCCATCTAGTAGGAAATAAAAAGCCTTAAAATAGACGAGGAATGGCAATTCAGCAGGCCCTGATAACATCCCGGCAAAGTTTGACAACTCAGCCGACATATTCCACCCACTTTTTCTGAAAATATAGGAGGTAGAAACAATCCCTGAAGAATGACAAGGATACCTCATCAAGCTTCATAGAGGTAGACCTCAGCGACTGTGCCAACCATAGGGAAATAACACTATTGGATGTTCCTAAGAAGGTATTTAATAAAATCATACTGAAAAGAATGAAAGAAACAGTGGATAGAAAGCTACGTGACCAACAAGCTGGATTTCATAAACATAGGTAATCAGAAATTACAGAGCTCACCTCATTGCATGTTGTCTTTAAGTAAGGCAAAGTCACACAATTAACCAACAAAAAGTGTACATCCAAAAATGCAAAATTTATGCAATTTTGATTTGATACTTTGGAATAGACCTATATAAAAACACTTCAAACTAGTTCTTCATCATGAAAACATAATTAAAATCCAGCATCTGAAGCAGGTTTGAATTTTCATCCCTTGATGCATCATTTGTGCAAGTTTGGTTCATATAAGCCTTATAGTTTCTTGGTAATAGACCTGCACCCATAACTTTTATGAGGTCCATTATCTGGAAAATGTATGTCGAATTCAGCATCTGAAGCAAGTCCATTAGTGTGCATCCTAAGATGTATCGTCCATGCAAGTTTGCTCAACATAGAGCTCAAAGTTACTTGGAAATGAAACCTGTATAAAAACTAACCTTTTCACTAATCCAGAAAGTGTAGGTCAGATTCAGCATCCGAAGTCAGCCTAGTAGCATGCACCCTTAGATGTACCATCCATGCAAGTTTTGGTCATTACAGGGCTCAAAGTTACTTGAAAATGAATCCTGCACCAAAACCTTTAACCTGTTCACTCAACAAGAAACTGTAGATCAGATTCAGCATCCGAAGCAAGTATGGTAGTATGCATCCTAAGATGTATCATCCATGCAAGATTAGTCATTATAGGGCTCATAGTACCTTGGAAGTGAAAACTGCACCAAAAACTTTAACCTGTTCACTCAACAAGAAAATGTAGGTCAGATTCAGCATCCGAAGCAAGTCTGGTAGCATGCATCCTAAGATGTACCATCCATGCAAGTTTGGTCATTATAGGGTTCATAGTATCTTGAAATGAAACCTGCACCAAAAACTTTAACCTGTTCACTCAACAAGAAAATGTAGGTCAGATTCAGCATCCGAAGCAAGCCTGGTAGCATGCATCCTAAGATGTACAATTCATGCAAGTTTGGTCATTATAGGCTCATAGTATCTTTGAAATGAAACCTGCACCGAAAACTTTAACCTGTTCACTTAACCGGAAAATGTAGGTCAGATTCAGCAATCGAAGCAAGTCTGGTAGTATGCATCCTCAGATGTATCATCATGCAAGTTTGGTCAGGGCTCATAGTTACTTGGAAATGCGACCTGCACCGAAAACATAAACCTGTTCACTCGTGCGGAAAATGTAGGTCAGATTCAGCATCCGAAGCAAGCCTGGTAGTGTGCATCCTAAGATATACCATCCATGCAAGTTTGATTAACATAGGGCTTATATTTACTCGGAAATGAGACCTACACCAAAAACTGCACCAAAAATGTTAACCTGCTCCAAAAACATTAACCTGATCATTCCTTTGCTGAAATTGCAGCATCTGAAACTTTGACTGGTACAATGAAACACACTAGAAACATCTTCCATGCATGTCTAATCAATATAGGACATAGAAGTACTTAAAAAAAACTGCTCCAAAAAACTTAACCTTAACCCGGGACGCCGACACCCACGCCAAGTGTATTATATAAGCTCCCCCAACTTTGTTGAGGTGAGCTAAAAAATGATCTTGTACGGACCAGATAGCAACGTTGCGTATTATCATCGAGCAATGTGCTGAATGGAACTCCTCCCTCTATGTAGGCTTCATAGATTACAAGAAAGCCTTTGAAAGTGTTCACATGGAGACAATATGGAAACTTCTGCGACAATATAGGGTTCCTTGTAAACTGGTAAATATCATCTGCAACTCTTATGAACACCTGACATGCACGGCAGTACATAGAGGACAACTGACAGCCATTTGAAGTAAAAACAGAAAGCTCGTCAAGGTTGTCCAAGTACTGTCACCTTTTCTGTTTCTTCTTGCAATAGACTGGATAATGAAATAATCCACAGACAGAAGGAGGTATGGATTACATAAGACATCGTGGACACAAACGATCTAGACTTCGTGGATGACCTGGCACTCTCATCACATAACCAGGCACAAATGCAGGAGAAAATTACAAAAGTGGCAGAGACATTAGCACATATATGACTCAACATCACTGTTGCAAAAGCAAAGCTCCTAAGAGCAAACACACCATCACATGCTTCATTAAATATCGAAGGAAAGGAAATCGAATAAGTAGAACGGTAGTGTAGATGGACCAACAAGGGAGAATGGAAGCAGATATAAAAGCAAGAATAGGAAATGCCAGAGAAGCATTCCTGCACCTTGGAAACATCTTGAAGACCAAGGGAATTACAACAAAATTACAACACCAAAGTTAGGATTTTTAATAGCAACGTCAAGGCTGTAGTCTTCTATGGTTCTGAGACATGGAGGATGACTGATACCACAACAAACAGGATCGAGACATTCATCAACTCGTGTCTGAGAAGCATCCTCCAGATTAGATGACCCAACAAAATCAGCAACATCGATTTGTGGCAGAGAACAAACCAAGCCCCTATATAGAAAGAAATAATGCCGAGACGGTGGAGGTGGATACGGCATTCTCTTTGCAAGGACAAAAATAAGATCACAAGGTAAGCCCTATCCTGGAACCCCCAAGAAAATCTTAGGAGAGGTAGGCCAAAGAACACTTGACGGAAAGATTTGGTGGCAGACGTCAAACGACAGGACAAGAACTGAAAAGAGGTAGAAAGCATTGCTCATGATAGATGGGCCTGGAGGATCTTGTCAGCGACCTATGTCCAAAAAGGGTAGCAGGCATAAGTAGTAAGCAAGTAAGTTTTTATCAACATTTGGTCTTGAGAAATAATTCATTGATCATATCATTAATCAGTGTACTTATAATAAGTATATGGCTCAAAAAATTCCACAAGTCCAAAGGAGATAAAATTAAAATATGTTTAGGGAATTATGTCTGCACTGATGAAATCTTTTTTTAGGGTTGGGGGGTTTATATCAGTTATAATCAATCTTTGGAACGAGATTGTCAACCGAGTCAAATAATAAATCATCGAATAATTATCAAAGCAATAATGTTGCTCTGTCTGGAGACCTTGATATGTCAGTCTTTTTTAGTCCGTCAGATGGGACGTTAAATGGCGCCCCGTGTCAAGGATAACAACCCCCTGGGCATGTAAAAGATCGTTTCTCTGGTTTTCAAAAGATTGGGATCACTGGAGGCCGCCAGACAAACCAAAATTTTCAAAAATGGTATTATTCACTTAATTTGGTCGCCGAAATATTGCCGACTCGGCGTTAAACAATAATAATCAATCAATCAATCATGAAATGTTGTCTATGAAAATCAGAATACTAGGCAAAATAATACAAACTTACCAAACATGGGACTTTTCTGCCAACCGTTATAATTTTTGTTGATAATATTAAATTATCAATATGACGATGTGATCTTTTCTTCCGTAAAATATCATATATTACAGTAATATCTCTACATGCATTAATCTTTTTTCTTCATTGAGATTAAATTGTAAAGGTTGATCACAGTGTACATGTAGGTAATTCTTCAATCTTCAAAACTTTGCATCCTACTTTCAAAGATATTTTTTTCAAGAAAATCTTTTTGAGGAAAAAAAGTATGCGTTCCCTTGAAATCTGTTTTGGAGTGTGTTAAAATGCTTTTTTTCTAATTGGGCAAAAAAGGTTTTTACATTTATAAGGAAATCGTCCAGACCTGATTAACTATAGTTTGGGTCAGTTACAGTCTATTCAGTTTCAATAATCTAAATGATTTTTTTTTCAAAATCTTGCACACACATTACTTTAAAACATACTGCATTTACATCATATAACAAATGATCCAACTTTCTACATTCAAGCCTGTAGAAGTCCAACATGTTTAATATTCATGTACTTTTTTTTTATAAAGTACATGTAATAAATGGTTAATAACACATGGAATGGTGTTCTCTATTGTACACTGACCCAATAGCATTATACCCTTATACGAACAGATGAACAGATATAAATAATAATCAAAATACATCTCCATTATTCCTATCACAGTTTTATTTTCACCATGTTGTAAATTTCAGACAATTTTGTTGAAGTTTCTTCTTAATACATGTAAATGTAACATGTAACTTTCAGAATTCTATCATTTACATTATCTTTATAAAATATTTGCAAAAAACAGCTCTTAACTGACATTCCAGCCGTAGAAACAGTACTCTAGAGGTTTTTTTTAAAGAATATGATGACATCAAAAAAATTGATATTATAACTTTGGGAATTAACTTTTTACATAGTGATTATTATTGTTGTTTCTTTTCTCTTTTTTTTCTCATAGCTAAGAAACATAAGATAATATGAATCTGAGAGCAATACAGCTGTCAGAACTAAATCAAAGACTTACAACTTTGATTACACAAACAAAACGGTACATGAAGGAAGTGAAATATAAAAATACCAGATTTTTCAACACTAACAATTCAAATTTCAAGTAACAAAAAAATGACATAACAAGAAAGTCATAATCAATATCTTATATACAGATAAATAAGAAACCATGCAGAAGTGTAACAGTGAGAAGATGGCCTTAAAAAATGCATTTAAAAAACAATGTATGTCTGTAACACAAACATTATCTGCCGAACTTTGTACTAACATTAGCATATCCATAGATGCAAGACATTGAGTTAATGGTGCTTAGACATTTGTGTGCATTTTTAAGAATCAGAACCTGATTTAAAGGATGTACATTACAATTAACCAGATTTCTTTCTCAATATACAATTTATTGATCCTATATACTTTGATACATAATTGCACTAAAAAAAATCCTAACACACAACCTAATAGTCAAATACAAGAAGCAATATATTACTAGATCTTCTTTTTGGGGGGTTTTATTTTGCTTTCCTTATTACAAAACAAATTAACATCTCTCTACTAAAATAGAAAAGGTTCAAATATTTTATTCCACGATTTAAGAAAATTTTGCTTTAGAAAAAATAATTATCTAAACATCTAAGTAAACTATGCAAATTTATAATACCCAACCCTAAAAAAAAAATACAAAATATATGACCTATAATGACATTTCATACTTTTTAAAAAGAATTATGAATTATAAAAGTAACAATTTTTTTTCTTTCTATTTTTGCAAAATACATATAAATGAAACTCCAGCTCTACATATCACTCCAAGCTTACTCCATTCCATCAGTGAAGGTTCGATCAGTCTAAAATTCATAACATTGCTTAAATAATAGCACTACTAAACTTGTTTCCAAATAAATCTTCAAGCACTTCGTTGCACTTCATGAGAAGGTACCAACAGTGTTGACAGATGTATCTTTGCAACTGAATTTTATGAATTTTCCAGAACGTTAAGTACATGCAAAGGCCAGACCTATACATTTGAAAAATATTGCTCAGAATTTTTTTATTAATTCCAGGGCAATTGATTTGAGGCAGAACAGCACTAGAGTTAAGTAAAAACTTCTCTGACAGAATCTCCACAATCTTATTCTAACTCTCTTGTTTAGAATAATTCTGGGAGAAATTAGCATCTACTGGCTGGGTTGTGTCTGTACACTTTGTACAGTCTAGCCTACAAGCATTGGTCCCTGTAAAGGCACTTGAGGTAGTGGAGGAACTGTTGTTTTCTGATCAGTAATTGGTTAAGAGAGGGACATCAAACAGGTCACATGCCCCTTCTGTATCATCCAGATTGAAGTAATAATCCCTGTCTGATGGTGGGGGGCTTAACCGGAGGAGTGGAGCAAAGGCTAAAACATAAAACAATAATGACACATCAGATACTACTGACCCAAATTTAGTACCACTTATTTACATGTATTTGTCTTCGATTTTCACGCGGGCATGCACATTGCAGAACATTTTTGATACTAACATGAGGTAAAGTTTTGATTTACTGAGTTAATATTTATGCATAATTCATGATTAGTAGCAAGTTGAAATTTTACAATTAACTCCATCCAGAACATTCAAAATTTACAAAACATCAGACATGATGTTGAGAATTAGATAAATGTAGTACAAAATTATCAAACCTTCAGAAGACATCAATTCCTCTATTAAATCTCCTTCACTTGGGATATCTGCAAAGTGAATGAAATAAATTTATTTATAATCAGATGAAAAATCAATGTGCAATACATCCTGACATAATTATCAATAAAAGAATTTGCTTCTTAACCTACCGAGCCCTGTATGTCTGGGGTCATTGGGATCAAACAGAATGTCACCAGGAAGAGAATCCAGTGAGGACTGAGGATCAGATGTGGAAGGAACTAAAAATCAAAACAAAAAAATTTACATTTTAATGCTAAGTTGGAAACTTTTTAAATTCTAATTGAGACAGGATTTATGTAATTAACATCTTTTTAAAGGCACTAATTAAAACAGTTTTATGCAGTTAGTAAGTATAACAGCATCAAAATTCACAACTGGATGATTGATCCATTCAAACTTTCTCAATACAAGTGACTTTACCTGATTGTGATGATTGGCCTTGTTTCCGTGGAGATGACCTTGTTGACATGCGTGTAGGGAATTCCACATCGGAAGATGGTTGTGATGGACGTAATGGAGATTTCTGTGGTGAGCGCTAATTGAGAAAAAAAAAGTACATCCCAAGAGCGTTCAAATTTTTACTGGTCAGCATTTCGAGTATGAATAGTAGATGAAATAAATACATGTATCTGTATACACTCCATATATTACAGATGTACAGTGTCATTACATTGTACCATCAGTATGACATTATAATATCAACATGACAACTACTTACAACTTTTTGAGCTTTCTGCAGAGACTGTGTTTTACCTTGGCATTCTTTGATTTATTTTGTGTTTGGTTTGGATCCACATTCTGATTTTCTGTGTCCTCCTCCTTTGGTGGGGGCACCTGTACCACAACAGGGCTTGTTTCCTCTGTGTCTTTGTTTACCAGAAGAACATGGATAGGTCCTGTATGACTCTTCAGATGCATTTGGTAATTCTTTTTAAAGCCAGGACCCTGCAAAATAAATATAATGAAGAGGCCATCAAAAATAGATGATTTTTTTAATCCAGCAAAGAACACAGATTAATGAATAGTTTTCGGACAAAGTGTCTGTCTTCTGTCTCCAACCACCTAAAAAACATAACTAGTCAAAATTCTACTTACTACTTCTGGTATGGGAACCTCCAGCTGGGTACCAGAGGGGGCTTGAATGGCAAGTAACATCTCGAAAACTTCGACAAATATCTTCATGGGTGACATATGCTGCCCTACAAAGTACAATCATATGATTATTTCATGGTGCTCATAAGGTGTCTCTTTTTAGGTCACCTGAGTAAACTCAGGTGACCTATTGCTATCCGTTTTCGTCTGTCGTCGTGCGTCGTGCGTTGTGCGTTGTGCGTTAACATTTGAACATTTTCAGCTTCTTCTCTGCAACCACTGAACCAATTTCAACCAAATTTGGCACAAAGCATCTATGGGTGAAGGGGAACAAAAATTGTGAAGATGATCCCTGCCCCCCAGGGGCCTGAGGGGTGGGGCCAAAACCACTAAAATGAATGCAATCTTTAAAAATCTTCTTCTTTACTCCTGGGCATCAAGCAGTCAAACTGTTTGCATGAATGTCATCAGCAATGAGTCCTCTACCAAAATTGTGAAATTCATGGCCCTGGGGTCAGGGGTTCTAGTGCTAGGGTGGGGCTAAATAAGTAGGTAGTGAAAATGCATTATTTCTTTGAAAATCTTCTTCTCTGCTCCTGGGTATTAAATATATAAGTACATAGTTATGTTGAGCAAGAGTGCCTCTACCAAAATTGTGAATTTTATGGCCCCAGGGTCAGGGGTTCTGGTGTTAGGGTGGGGCTCTATTGATTATATAGTGAAAATACATGAATTCTTTGAAAATCTTCTTCTCTGCTCCTGGGTATTAAATAAACTAACAAAGTATATAATTATGATGAGCAAGAGTTTCTACAAAAATTGTGTTTTTTTGGCCCCAGGGTCAGGGGTTCTGGTGTTAGGGTGGGGTGTTTGATTATATAGTGAAAATACATGAATTCTTTGAAAATCTTCTTCTCTGCTCCTGGGTATTAATTGACTAACTAAGTGCCTAGTTATGGTGAGCAAGAGTGCCTTTACCAATATTGTGATTTTTATGGCCCCAGGATTAGGAGTTCTGGTATTTAGGGGGGGGGGCTCTATTGATTATATAGTGAAAATACATGAATTCTTTGAAAATCTTCTCTGCTCCTGGGTATTAAATAAACTAAGTGCATAGTTATGATGAGCAAGAGTGGCTCTACCAAAATTGTGAATTTTATGGCCCAAGGGTCAGGGGTTCTAGCGCTGGGGGGGGGGGGGGGGGGGGGGGGGGGGTGCGATAGATTATGTAGTTAAAATACATGAGTTCTTTCAAAATCTTCTTCTGTGCTCCTGGGTATTAAATAAACTAACTAAGTGCATAGTTATGATGAACAAGAGTGTCTCAACCAAAAAATTTTATGGCCCCAGTGTCAGGGGTTCTGGTGTTAGGGTGGGGCTCTATTGATTATATAGTGAAAATACAGGATTTTTTTGAAAATCTTCTTCATTGCTCCTGGGTATTAAATAAACTAACTAAGTGCCTAGTTATGATGAGCAAGAGTGCCTCTACCAAAATTATGAATTTTATTGCCCCAGGGTCAGGGGTTTTGGTGTTAGTGCAGGGCTCTATAGATTATATAGTGAAAATTCATTAAATCTTTAAAAAAAATTTCTTCTCTGCTCTAGGGTATTAAGCAGATGAACTACCTATATAGTTATTATCTACAAGGGCCCTAATCTTCCAGAATTGTGAATTTCAAGGTCCCATGGTCAGGGGTAATATGGGGGGGGGGGTGTACTTATATACTGAAAATGAATGAATGGTTTGAAATCTGCTCCTTGGTATTAATCAAATATCAAGGCCTTAGGGTCAGGGGTTCATGTGTAGTAGGGGCACTACTGATTATTGCTGAATATGGCTGATTAGTTGAAATACATTTTTTGTTCCCCTACCTTGTGTATGGGTATTGAGTAAACAAACTAAGCAACTGCTAAGTGTATTGTTATGATGAATTAAATTTAATCACTAGAAAGTTGTTGCATAATGCACAGGTGACCTATAAGGCCCATGGGCCTCTTGTTTAGTTTTTAAATAAATGAGACTATATGTTCAAGCATTATAAATTGAGATATCCGAGGCATTACTGTGTATTTGTGACTTCATCTGTGACATTCTTTATACTCTGCTGCACCCAGGTCTTATGCAGGTCTAATTTTTTTTCCTGCTGCTCCAATTCATCAATTTCTTGTTTTAGGGTCAAAAGTCGGTCTGAGATTTCTGTACCATTTCCTTGATTTACTCTGTAAAACATTAAAACTTCAATATAATAATGAAATTCTTTTTGCTGACTTCTATCTTTTCTATTCTATCCTATCTTATCTTATTGTATCATTTCAAATTGTAACAAACAGAAGCATAAAAAGCAGATTTTGCAGGATATCATATTTAAATCAATGTGAATTATTACACTTGAGAAATCTTATTATAGTTGAAATTTTCAATTCTTTTTCTTTATTCATATATGGGCATGTTCCGTAACATATTGCTTTTTCCTTATTTTCATCTAAAGTCAAATATTATTATCCAACAATATATGGGACCAAAAAAAAAAACCATTGAGATATCCATGGATTCAAGATATTGAGGTATAAGTGGCTAGGATTTCCAAATCACTTCGACATATCCATGCTATTTGAGATATCACTATAATCAGTGTTTGGAGACTTTGATATATAGAAGTTCAAATGTATTTCATTGTATTTTTTCCTTAAATATCCTTCTTTATACTCCTTAGACGTCAAAATAACAATTCTTTTTCATTCTTACCCATCTTCTGTTCCTGAATAATTTGCACTAGCACCTCTGCAAAAACAAGAAAGAAGAAATAATTAGAGTCTTGTAAAACAGTATAGCTACCTTTATAAATAACATTTTAAAATCTAAATACAATATTCCAACTTACTTCCACTGAATGCTATTCTTGGATTTCTTTTCGATGAGACCTATGCCTTCCAACACATTAGTTATGTCATATATTCTCCGCTTCTGTCTCACAGCTAGTTGATCAGCAGCCTTTCAAAAGGCAAACAATTCATTGAATTTAATTTGTACTACTAAATGTAATGTGATGAAATTATTATGCCTAAGAATACTGATATTGAAAATAATACCATATCCTCCCCACAGGAAGTCCTGATCACCCCCCTTCCCCCCCCCCCCCATCAAATATTCAATTTTGGGGGCTTGTTGGACATTTCCTTACAATTTATAGCAAGCGCAGGGAGCTCAATAGACTCATGTGTAAGAAAAGATGAAATTGAAATCTGTACATATGTCAGCCAAATTTTACTGTGCAACATTCCCAGAATTCCTTCGCTACCAGAGTACCATGCGAATTCATTTTAAAACATACAAAAGACCAAAAGTAAATGCTCTTTACCAAGATATGTTTACTTTTCTTTATTAGCACAAAGCTTAGAAGTAATAAAAAATATTTGTATCTACTCTGTAATGTATTTCATTAAACATGTTAAATATTGCACAAGACCTATAGTCTCGTTTAACCAGATGCTTGGCTGTCTTCTTAAATTCCAACGTCATTTGACAATGTCACAGTCTAAACTGTCTCATGCAACACTGTCTCATGCAGTTCTGACATATTAACACTTATTCATCATGTATCAGGAAAATTTGTGCATAGTTCCATAACAAAAATTCCCTACATTTATTCAATATACAAGAACAGGTAAGCCACTCCCCCTATTTAACACAGTGTGCGAAATTAACGGTGGACCGGTAGACAATGTCTATAGAAAATCTAGTCGGTCTATACCGATCGAAATATTAATAGACCGACTTGTCTATAGGAATTCTGAGTAAGAAACTGGTTCCCTGCTTGTCTCTAATATACAAACCACAAAAAGGAGGACCAGTTTAAATAAAACGTCTGTATTACACTGATGTATTCCGATCACCCCTTAGTTATAATAGTTTGTTCCACGATGTATGCAGAAATAATTCGAATCGGAATATTTTATTTTTAACATGAGGGGAGGTTAAGTTGTGATTACTTAATGGCCGCGGACACCAAAACAGTGCAGAAGAAACATGTCCTTCTTCGACCGTTTAAAGTATGTTGAGGGTGCACGCTCGGGAATTATTATTACTCTTGTCTATCAGACAGACATTCTCAATGTTTGAGTCGTTTATCAATGCTGTTGTAGTCAGTCATCTTACCGTGTTTTTTGATTCTTGTTGTAATCTTTTATCCAGTACAAAAACTACTGGAAAGTGTAATTATTTCACCATTTTACATCAAATACGTTTATTTTAATTTCAATATTTTAGCATTGAATGTAGTATTCTAAATTTCGGTCCATAGGAAGTTGCTGCGGTCTATAGAAAATGAAATGTCTATGGACCGAAAGTCCGAAGGACTTTGAAGTTAGTTTCGCACACTGTTAACATTGAACCCCCGCTGGTTTTTTCGGATAAAACAATGTGTGCCTCTTTTATATCATCCTAAATTGTCAGTTAACCTTGTCTCCACTTCTATATTTTTCCTGGGACACAGTTAGATTGTTAGATTATTCTTACGGGGGGGGGGGGGGGGGGGGGGGGGGTGTCCTATATATACAAATAAAATCTTTAGATGACATTAATAAATGAGCAAGGTTTCATGGGTGTGCAAAATATAGGGCTTAAACCAAGATTTGTACAACTTTTAAATGAAGCAAAAATTAATAATTTATAAACATGTCCTGTCAGTCGTCAGTTGTAGTGTTACATTCAAATTTTGAATTGTAAACAAAGGATTGCAAGCATTTTCTCACAGAAGCATGGCTTAAAAACTGACATAAAATTATCTTACAACTTTCAGATCTAAAACACCATCTTTTGCCTCTTGCAATAATGACACAAATTTCGTTGTAAGCAATCCCAAACTTTTCTCGTGCCGACTTGGCGTTGAATTATCCATCGCCATCGTTTTGCTTTTGCAGAGGAATTCTGGGAAAGAACGCGTGCGTGAAAACGGGGTTGCTAATGACCGAAAAAGAAACTGCTTGCTTAGACAAGCTCCAAAATAGATATGTAGGCCTAACCGAAGAATTTTTTTTAAATATTAGGTGTTATTACTTGAAATACAATTAATTTTTTTTTCATCTTGTTGATTTGTCTCCTTTTATTTTTTTAATTATTTATGTGAAAGCATTCATCCGCATTCATCCGGGACTTTTCAAAATGGATGCGACCATAAATCGTTTGTTGACAGGTCAGAAAAAAGGAAATTATTTTATTTTATTTAGGCCTAAATGTAAAGTTTTGGTTTGAATTTGACATTTTAAAGATTAATTACACTTTGAGGACGATTAATTTTTAAATGTTAACTTTAGTATTGTTATGTTTTCCTTCAAAGAGATTTTAAAAAGACTTTTGCCTCATTTGTACTTGTAGGATGAAAGGTTAAACAACATCAAAATGACTGGAAAACGGTGGTGTGTTGGAAAGGATCTTGGTCACCAAGTGGATAACTCTACTTCAACAATTAAAAAACTGAGTATTCTCTACAGCGACCCTGAATTAAGTGACCTCCGTCTCTGCATTGGGGATCGAACCTTTCATGCTCATAAACTCATCTTGAGCATCTCCAGTGATGTTTTCAAAACAATGTTAACAAGTCCCACATGGCCCGAGGCGTATACATCCCAGATTTCGTTGGAGGAGGAGCCAGAGTGCCAGGACGTGTTTGAGGACTTTCTGCAGTACCTTTATACTGGGAGGATACACCTTAGCCAGACCAGTGTCCTCCCTATCCTCATTCTCGCCGACAAGTACAACATCAATGACCTGTCTGATGTGTGCATCAATTACATGAGCAGCCATTTTGTGGCACCGCCCTCTCAGTCTCAAGTGATATCATGGCTTAAGTATGCAATTATGTGTGACCATAAACAGTTGCAAGAGATATGCGAGGAATATATCACATGGAATTTTCAGTATGTTATGAATACTCCTGATTTTATGGGTATTTCATCAGAAATGCTGATTAAGTTCTTAAGATCTTCAGACATCATTGTTGATGATGAATACACTTTATATGAGAAGGTCAAACTTTGGTTGGCTTCTTACAAAGAATTGAAATCAAACTCAAAGAAGCTCAAAAGCAAGTTGAAAAATATCATTGAAACTGTTGTACCGCTGATCAAGTTCCCTATGATGCAGCATGAAAACATGAGTTCATTGGAAGAGGTGGGAGGGTTCATTGGAAGCCAGGATGTATCAATAGATAATTGGAAATTAAAGGTGCAGGAAGAAATTCAGCACCTATGCACATTATTAAATGAACAAGCAAAAGGAGAAAATGTAGACAGGAAACCAATTCCATGTTCTCAGCTTATTTCCAAAACAGACTCTGTCCTTGCAGCTCAAGAACTAGAACCCAGATATATTTCTTCCTTTTCCGGTGTTTCACATCATGTGTCCTTTAACCCCAGAATCTACACAAGTGACACCTGGAGCACTGAAATTTTTGTTCCAGATGTTAAAAGCGTTAGTCAAGGGGATGTTTTGAGAGCATTCTTCTCCACTCCTATCTCAGGTCCTGGTGGAGATGACTTCTCCATGTGGGATTGGCATGTGGATTTTTATCCAGATGGAGTTATTTTTAAGCCCTGTGTCATGATTGGTCATTTTTGGAACTATGAATTAGATGAAGTTGTTTATGACACTGTTCGTTTGACCGTGACATCCAACTCCCATGAGCGCCGCCAAGTGCAGATCAGTGTTTTGATTTTTGGACAACAGGAAGGCATTGAGTTTGTTGCCAAGTGTGTTACAAAAAACTGCTACTTTGATAGTGAGCAGCTGTCTCACAACTTCAATGATCTCATAGACCTCTCTGATCTCTATCATGGGAAATCTCCTTTCCTATTGGATGCGGAAAGAAATGCTTTAAAAATCAAAATTGTTATTAAGCCTAAAGTATCCTTTTAAACATTTTAACAAATTTTTTACTGGTCAGAAGTCAGATTTAACCTGATGCAACATGTGGAAGTTCCTATGAAAGTGGTATTTTTATGTATTTATAACCAAATGTGTCTTGAACAAAAAAACAAACAAACAAAAAATAATCAAACTAGTGGTTTGCTTTTTGGTGCAATAATATTTTTGTGTGTAGTAGCTATATGGATATGCATGTCATTTGTTCTAGTAAGTGCTATATTGATACATTTTTACATTAATTGTTTTAATTAAAACACTGTTTATCTGGCTTTGAATGCAAGTATTTTAATATTATACCTTTCTCTTTGAATATGTTGCATAGATTGTGATTGACAGATGTTAAACTACTAACATCCCACTATGAGATCAGTCATTTTTAATATTTATTGATATTTAGCATTGCACTGTTAAGTATTACTCAGTTGAAAAATTTTGACAAATTTATTTGTTTGTTCTATTTATGAAATGTTCAGGGCATATGGTGTTACCCCTTTCCATCCATCCATCCTTCCTTCACTGTCATTCTTTTGTTTTTTCTAGACTTTTTCCCTTCTATTTAGGCATAATGAGCTGATTTTTTTTGTCCTTGGATATTGTTGACTTGCAGATCAAATGAAAGTTTCATTTTCATTAATATACTTATTATTACTGGAATGGGAGACTTCGAAAATTTGTTACAAATTTTCTGTTTTTCCAACATTTTTAGCTCACCTGTGCTGAAACAAACTGTCCAGTGGGAATATAAGGATATATTAAACATCAGATAAAACACAGCAGCAGGGCTAAGTAACCCACATGAGTGTCATGGCCTATATTTTTCTAGTTGTTTATAAAAATTTTCATTCCTGTACGCTCCTGACTGAAAGCCGGAAGTAGGGAAATTTTTTGTTCATTGGCTACAGTTGTTACTGTAAATATCTACAAACTTCCTTCTTAACAAGAAAACAGTTTGTTCAAAAAATGCACAACATTTAAAATTTGTTGCAATGAAAGAAAAAACAAGTCCAAGCTATTTTTTTAATCTATGTGTGGATTGTTGAATTCAGATTGCCAATGCTGGACCTGTTCAGTGTGATTTCCTTGTTATAGTTGTATGGTTATATGAATAAATAATTTTATAATTATTGAAAAAAAGATATGAAAATAAATAACTGACAATGATTTTTTCAAGAGACTTTTTTTTTTACCTTGAAAAAATAGAGTGCAAGTTAAATTCACTCCTCTACTAATGCTAACAGCTTTAATGTTTTTAAGTTATGTTGTTGTATGACCTAGGTCTAAGGATACCGGTATGTTGATGGCTTCAGAAACAAGTGTGTACTCATAAATTCAGCCTGTTTATATACCAGATACTCAATTGTGAGAATTTAAAAGCAAGAATTAAATATGAAGGTAATGAACATTAATCAAGCTCAAGAGTCCTTTGAAACTAAACAAATTGGGATCAGAGCAAACATGGACCTCTAGAGGTGAGATTAATGCCATGGTAGTTAAAAATGTCTAATGTTCTACAGGCTTTTTTAGAATGAATTTTATATTTGACATGCCTGGACTAAAAAATAAAACATTTAGGACAAGTGCCATGGAGGAGTGGGCATCCTTTGTCAACAGGTCATGGATGCCATGTGCCCCTTGTCATGATCAGGCATATGGCAAATCCGTATTCAATTCGGTGTAAAAAAAAATATCATAATCTAACAATTTGTATGAAAAATATCAGTTACTCAGCATTTGACTTTAAGATGAACACAACTCAAAAATAAGCATACACAATATTAGTTTTCCTATCTTCTACATCAGAGCTGGGTATATAAACCCTTTGCTTTTGTAAGTTTGATTATACGGTTATACCTGATTGCTTTTACCTTGTTGCTGCTCTGTGCCAATCATAATGAAGTCAATTTGGTCATGCCCAAGTATATGACAATGAAGGAGATATCCTTTCTGATGAAGCACAATAATTTGGACAAAACTTAGGCTTTATAGTATGTTGCCACTGGAGGAGGACAACTTGAGAAGCCTAATATGATCAATCAAGATAACTCTCCTCCTTTTACTATTCATGTTCATCTTTAATGATAGATTGTATTAATTTGCTAACATGGTCATTAAATCAAACAGAATTTGCGAAATGTTAACTTATAATATGTAAGAATTTTGATATCCTTGTTTCCTGAATTTATTTGTCAATAGCCGACTCGTTTTAAAATTTGCTGATCAAATCAACTGGGAGATATGGTTTATATGCAGGTGGTAATCAAATAGTATATTGGTACATAAATAAGGGAGTTTGACGATAAAAAAAACTTCTATTCATCATGTTCATCATAGAGTTTTGTTGCTAGGTGACCATTACTGTCTGTCTTATCTTTTAAATTATTCACCTGAACCAAATGTGTCAGGCTCTGTGGTGTCATTTTTTTTCAGGTCAAATGAATACATTAATCAATGTAGGAATAAAAAAGATGGGTAAAAACGTTGATAAATCTAGATGTAAAATGTCTATTCGAAATTTAGTAGTTGGAACATTCCGTAGTCAAACTAAGTATGAAAACATAAAGGTCTGTAAAATTCGTCCTTCTTTGTTCGATCAATACATAGGAAAACTAGAGTACAAAATTAAATGTGAGAAATAAACAATGTAAAACAAAATGTTTTTGAAAGAAAATTGGAGCAATGATTCATCAAATTTAAAGGAAGCGTCCAAATTCAGTACACTTATCTCGCATCAATGCTAACAAAGCCATAATTGGGCAGTAAGGTAACAATTTTTACACACAGATATACCAATTTCCTAAACAGATCCTTATTTTATGAAAGCTGGGATTCGAGTTTATTTTTTTCATTGATTACAGTTGTTATTTAAATATCAACAAACTTCTTTCTAAAAAAAGAAAACAGTTTGTTAAAGAAATAGGCAACATTTATGTAATTCTCGACACGGGACACCATATACCGTCCCATTACTACGGAACTTGTAGCAAGATTCATAGCTGTACAGCGGAAAATTCATTTCATCAACAGTGACAATGGAATGAAAACGTTAAAGAAAGTAAGCAGAGATCGATCCTAAAAAAATCTACAAACACAAAACTGTGAAGAGGACATTAATACAGACCACTGAAAATTTCTGGAGGTGGGATCAGCTACCTGGGATGAGTTAGCATCCCTTGTCGACCGGCCACTCCGCCGCGAATCCTCTATATGTATTGATCGGGTAGACCAAGCATACCGTTGTAAAATTCAGTTTTAAACAAGATGTGTTTGTGAAACACTATACGCCCGGCAGCAACAAAGTTCCAAAAAATATTTTTAGCATATAGGTCACAGTCAAGGTCACAAGGTCATTGACCTTGGTGTGATTTGTATGAGCTTAAGGTAAGGTTTGCGTTTACAGGGAGATAACTCTTGCGAATCACCAAAGCGTTTGAAACAGGCGAATTTAAACCAGCGATGCTAAGCATTTCGGTAACGAATTTCCTCTGTCATACTTGATGTTTGTTGTCACTTATTGTTAGGACTAAAAACATAAGATGTTTTCAGGAGAAAGTCTTATAACAAATCAAAGCATAGGAATCTTTAAAGCGTTTGAGATTAGCGTGATGCATGTGTATGAACCAATAAAGGAGGACTTGTTTATTTTCGATACGGAACGTGGCAAGTTGCATGGCCATTCCGATCAGAAGAAAGTCATTGATGCATTGTGCTGTTGTGTGTTTCTCGCTTCACTACTACACAAAAATTTTAAGTGAGAATGGAAAAGAAAAAAGAAAAGACCTGAGAATATTCTGTAAAGTATAATGCTATATGCAGTCCCTACAGGGAAGAAAAGTCACGGTGCATTTGACCATGTCCATTGATGATGTTGACCATGTTGACAGTTTGATTGTTGATAGGCCCCTAGTATTTTCATCAGGTAATTATTTAACTATTTATTTTACTGAAAGTTATGAATGATCTACTGACTTCGGATTTAAAAACGATGAATGAACGGATGTCAGGATGTGACCAATATCCCAACATTGCCAAAAAATAAAAATGCGCATTCATTCAAGAAATTGTGAAAAATAAAATCCTTGCTTTTTAGCATTATAATATTTGTAACATAATTGAAACAGGTATTCAATTGTTCAAGTTACATTTTTGAATGAGGTTTGATTTTAATTAATATATCATTTTATAATTAATAAAAAAGAGATACAGATTGTGCATGACAAGAAGATTAATTTTCTTGATCAAGCATTTGCATTTCACTTATTCAATCTGTAAATTTTACAATAATTTCATATTGATTCTTCATTGATTAAATTGGAAATTTTTTCATTTCATTGAGTGAATGAAACTCAGTGCAATTCCTTATGCAATTCCAAAAATGCAATTCCTTAAATGTTATTGTAAAAATGAACACATATGATTGCAGATCATGGGTCATTAATTGGAATAGGTAAGAACCAAAAAAAGTACTTCATTGTTTCCTTGAAAGATTTGTGCCATCAATCAAAGTAGAGGTCATCCCATACCAGCTCAAGAATATTAAAGAAAGTTGGATGGATCAAGCTAAGATGTTGAACCAGACATGGCAAAATCAATGGAGATTTGGAGAAGAACTTCTGACTTGTTATACCCAATGCATATTTTTATATGTCTATAGATTATAAAAGAAAATTTAATGTTTAACAACATCCTATTTAGTATATACATGCTGTTTTCCATATATTTAGAAAATATGTGTATGTGATGATTGCAGTGCATGCTCTGTTTGTCCATCTTTGAATTTGTTTTCAGTAAAATAAATGTATACATCATAGGTATTAATTGAAGGTTGCTTTTGTCTATACTTACATGTTACAAGTTTCTTAAAAGGGTTTGTAAAATTGCAAGGAAATTAATACATGAACAGTTAAGATTAATATTTTTATTCATTAAATTTTGTTCTTACCAGGACCTAATATGCTAAAATAAGTATTTCTGAAAACTGATGAGTTTTGTACATAAAGCTGCAGTGAACATGTATAATTATATCTACTGTATGATACTTGGAAATTGTAAGGTTGTTAATTTAGTAGGAATGATAAGACCAGTTAAGTAATCTACTAAAATTAAAATCTCTCACAAATACATATAGTTTATGTTAAAATTGTTTACATTTAATATCTTTTATTTTTTTATGTAGGAGAAAAATTTGTTATATGTAATTTATTATTTTATGGATATCAAGGAGATATATCTATCACTGTAGCATTGTTTCTTTTTCCCTGTTCTTGACAAAAATATGCATGACAGTGTTGTCATTTTGCAGAATTTGCTTTTTCTATGAAATCAGAAGTACTCTGTAAACTCATTAAAGTATGAATTGATGCCACTTAGAATTCATATTTATTTTGTTCTGTCTGATATTTCAATTTTGATTCTCAGACTACCTAATCCAATGATTGAGCTAATGTCCATGAAGTGTAGAAATAGGCCATCTTTAAAAAATGTTTGGTTGTTGGCCTCTCCAGACCGACTGACTTAGATGACCAGACTGAAAACTTTTTTTCAATGCAGGGCCATATTTTTTTTTTTATTCCTCTTATCCCCTTAAAAAATGTTGTTGAAGATTTTCTCACCTATTGACCCAATAATTTTACCCTGAGTCAAGAGAGGGCAAACAAACATTACTTTAAAGATAGCATTTCTACTCTTCGAAGTAAAGAAATCATTTAATTATAAAAACAGCAGCTTCATGGATGCAATGCTTACAACATTTCACTCAAAAAATGGCATAGATGTATAATGACAGTCACCAGCCATAACTGAATAAAGATATTTTGCTACAAAGATGTCTAGAAGTTACTACATTTTGGAATAACTAAATCAGCATGTGGTCAAATTCATAGGCTTTTAATTGGTTTAGTTGCAACATGTTCTGAAGTATGTTTATATACATATACATGTACTTCTAAAGGTGTTGCAGTATAATTCATGGACAATTTCATCAGGATATTCAGATGTAAAGATTAATTGCCATAAGTACTAGAGTTCTTGAATCTTCCATGGGATAAATTTTTAGACCATCATGAAGCACAGGAGGAGTTTTATTTTGAATATTTTTGGCCAATTTATGCCTAAAAACAATATCAAAAATAACATTTAGTCTTTAACATTCACCATGACAAGGTGAAATCAAT